CCCGCCACGTCATTTTATGTGGCCCGCGAATCCGCCAGCAAAAAAAATAAATAAATAAAATTTAATAAAAAAATTATTTTATTTTTTATTTTGGAAAAAAATAGTTAGACTTTGAAATAAAAGCATCCCCATGGATGAAATTATGAGATAGAAAGTTGAAATTATGAGATAGCATGTTGTCTGTGTACCGACATTAAAACTATCACAACAGGTGGACAGGAGAGGGAACAGCCCATAAAGCGGTTTTCCAACAAGTGATTGAGTTGAAAAAGATCGACAAATAATCCCAAAATGTCCACGAAGAGAACAATTGATGCAGAGGGAAGAAAATGGAATGAAAGATGGGAAAGCGAATACATGTCTGTGCTTCAGGGAGAAAAACGGGTCTGTCTTCTGTGTTATGATGCGTGTCGGTGATGAAGGATACAATTCACGTCGGCATTTTGACACCAAACGGAGCAAAATTTAGCCTCCAAGAAAAACATAAAATTGTCCAAGAATTAAAAGGCAGAGTGCAATCACAGCAGAATATATTTACAAAAGCTACAGCCCAGTGCATGCTAAAGGTCTGTGAGCAGGTGAGCTCCGATCAGATACAGACTTTTACAAATGTCAGTTTGTGAAGAAACACCATCGCAGACCGAGTTCAGGAACTAGCAGCAATCTAACAACACATCTAGCTAAGAGATGAGCAGGTACTCGTCTTCTTCATTAGCTGTTGATGAAAGCACAGACAACATGGACACAGTGCATCTATCCATGTTTATGAGACCTGACTGTCAGTGAGGAGCTCTTGGATGTAGCTGCCATGCACGGGATGACGGCGGGGACATTAGTGATGCAGAGAGGTGACAAAAATAGCTTTGAACAAAGTTAATGTAATAACTTGTGTTTGATGATATTTGTCTTTGTTATTTTCTTTAAAGGTTTAAAGATCTTTGATAGAGTAATGTGGGTTTCTTAATCCTAAATTAAAATGATTTATTATTTATTTATAATAACAGAAATGTGCTTAAATATAATTTTACATTTATATAACTGCATGTACAATATTTTTACACTTGAATAAACAATAATCAAATGCAGAGAGTTAGTTAACAATATGTTAGGGAGTCGTTACATTTATACAGTCTTAGAGTTACAACCGGCCCTTTGAGGGAAACTATGATGCTGATGTGGCCCGGAGTAAAAATGAGTTTGACACCCCTGCTCTATACAAATGTAATCAACCCCAACTTCTTTAATCTTGCTTTAATTAAAGATATCATTTACAACCTGTTTGAAATACTCAAATGTAAACATGGAACATAAAGAGCCTGTCAATCACCTTTTTTCTTCTTGTGTAGAATTGACTTAGGCAAGGCAAGTTTATTAGTATATCACATTTCAACAACAAGGTAATTCAAAGTGCTTCACATAAAACCATTAAAAGCATCAAAACATAAGGCAAAAGAAAAGGAGATTTAAAAACAATTAAGAACATTCATTGAAACAATAAAAACAGTCATTAAAACACTAAAAAGCATTGTAGGAAATAAAATACAGTAGTAAAATGCAGAAATTGATTAATATCCTTGAATCTGGTTCAATTAAAGGCAGCAGCAAACAGTCTTGATTTAAAGGAGCTGAGGGTCTCAGCAGACCTGCAGCTTTCTGGGTCTTTGTTCCAGATATGTGGAGCAGAACAACTGAATGCTGCTTCTCCATGTTTAGTTCTGACTCTGGGAACAGAAAGTAGACGGTCCCAGACGACCTAGGCCAGGGTTCGGCAACCTTTACTATCCAAAGAGCCATTTTGCTCTATTTTCCACCAAATAAAATTCGTCTGGAGCCGCAAAAGCTATTTGATATCACAGCTTATGAAGTGTTATATATAGTATATTATATATACAAAAACTATAGTTTGTTGTATTTATGAAAATATAGAACAAGAATAAAGACAATTCTTGACATTTTTTTGCAATTTTACCTGATATAAATATATCAAACTCTTATGAAGAGCTCAGTTTGCTGCAGCAGCTGCGAAATCGCTCTTTGTCGCTCATCTCCAGCGTGACACTTTTCACCAAATGCTGTGTGCTTGTTCTGGAAGCATACAGGTAAGCCAGCATCGTTGGCAGTGAAAGCAAATGAAGATGTCCACGCAGAGTTAAACTCTCTATTTTCCTCCGTGACTTTTCTTTTTTTGGATTTATCCATTGATAGTTTACAGAGGGCGGGGGTCTGAAAAATCATGATTAGCCACCTGCAGGGAAAAGCGCTTGACAGAGGTAGAGGATTTAACTGCCTGTGGGAATAATTAACATATAAGATTCTGTTCATTCTTGCTTATAAATTATATTCTCTCTGAACACGTTTCTCTTTTTGGAGAACATCATGTGAGATAACTTCTTCGATTAGCGCAATTTCCCTGCTCTTCTTTCTATTTCCTCGTCTCAGCCCCGTGTGTGTAAACCTCGCTCGAGTCGGGGAAACTTGTCAGAATACCCATATTTCATTGGCTGAGCAGCATCACGTGATGTGATTTGCAATGCATTGGTCGGTGTGTTTCCTGCACCGCCGAACAAGTGCCGTAACGGCTGAATAATATGCACTAGTTAGAGTTTAAACTCGGTGCCCAATATGAATAATTCCGAATTATCTATCGGTTTTTAGTTCCTGGGTCCGGATCCGGTGCGCCAGTTGGGGACCTCAGGGAGCCGCAACAGAGAGGCCGGGATGGTTCATAAGGTAGCAGCACATCAGAGATGTATTTTGGCCCTAAACCATTCAGTGCTTTATAAACCAACAGCAGGATTTTAAAGTCAACTCTTTGTTGGACAGGAAGCCAGTGCAAAGACCTCAGAAATTCGTTAGCATAGCCGTTCATTCACCCTAGTTTAGTCTGCTGGTGTAGTTGCCACGGCTCCCAAACAGTGGCACAACTTGCAGCTGAGCTTGCAACAGGAAGTGCCTCTACTAGCTGCCGCTGCCACATTTTGAGCTTGCCCTTTCTCGCGGACGCCATCGCAAGGATGCTACGCTGCATTCACAGTGGTGTGTGGAAGTGCAAAACGTCAGACAACAATGTACACATGCGACATCCTCTGTCCCAGGACCCTCACATCGGAAAAACCCGTTAACGGGGAGAAAATTGAAAGAAAGGAGTTTAGTCCTTTTCCCGGCTGTCTTGCCCCTTTTCTTGGGTCGATCACACTTCCCATGGCTTTTTGTTCGGCCGGTCTGGCTTAGTGGTTGCAAGAGCAGCTGCACTTAATCCAATTCTCGTACTTTCTTTTGCGATATTGCTGAGTGTGTTTTTATCATGAATGTAGCAAAGTCTGTGGGAGATAACGGCCACCACATCTGCATGCGCCGTCGTTGCCACAGCAGATTCATTGATTGATTGGCTTGCTTCCCATATACAAGTTGAAGCATTTTTTAGCTTTTGTAGTGCATTTTCACAAAGGGATGAATAATTATTTCAAGTTTGTTGTTTAATTTCAGTTTAACTTACCTTAAGTAACACAAGACTGTGTACCAACTGGTGCAACGAGACTGCAGTGTAAGCTGGCTTGCAACCAGAGTAGTATCTATATGCTAGCTGGGAGTCAGAAGGCACTGCCAAGATGGTGATGGTGGTAGCCACAGGAGCCCACCACTTTGAGCTACACAACGATTTCACGTAATACACTAAGTACAAGCTTAGTTAGCCTCAAAACTAGAGGGTTTCCACCAACACGGACGAGTCCCCAAATAGAGAAGTGATTTTTACCAGAAGAGAAAATTACCTTTTATTTGTAGTCATTTGTAGACCCACATATTTTTTAAAATATTTGCTCTGCCTGTGGGTGATGTGGTTTCAACATACATGTTGTATCATTCCAGAGTGCAGGAGGACCACCCCATCATGTCTTTCACTGTTTCCAAAAATGGAAGGTTAGCTCTGCTCAATGTTGCAACTCAGGTGAGCAGCTTGTTACTTCACACCACAATGTATTTCCCTTCCACTTCAGCTAGTTGCTACAATATGATTTCAGTGCAATCTTGATTTTGAAATGTGTCTCTCCATAAATGCTTTTTGTGTGTAGGGAGTGCACCTATGGGACCTGCAGGACCGGGTGCTGGTGAGGAAGTACCAAGGGGTGACCCAGGGCTTCTACACCATCCACTCCTGCTTCGGAGGGCACAATGAAGACTTCATCGCTAGTGGCAGTGAAGGCAAGACAACATAATGTTTAGTAGAAAGCTCAGCTCAGCTGCTCTTTGTTGTGGACTGAGACAGACAGTTGACAAAAAAATTAAAAGAGCTGCATTGAGCTGATGTCATCAGGGTTATTTTCTCGGACTTGACGATGCTCCTCTACAGCCACAGACGGGGTGGAATTATGAATACTGTAAGACATAAATAAACATCTCTGCAAACCCATGCAGAGAGGAAAAAAAAACATCTACACGCCAAAAACAGTACTGAAGTCAAACTTTAAAGGGAATCCCTCCCTGTATTTGCTCGACCCTAGTCCGCAGAGGAAATCTCGACAAAATGTCAGGTGGACATGCACATCAAGCAATTTGAAAGTAAAAGTAAAAGGTGAAAAAGTAAGCGGTACAGGTATAAAACAAACTGCCACACATTCGTCATGGAGCAACCCCTGTGTACATTTGCCTCTGTGCAGCCTGGGGAAGCAGAATTCCATCCTGAGAAGTACATATTTTGAGTAAACATATTGTCATGTATATAATTGGTGAAGTTGCTATTTAAGTCTACACCAATAAACTGGTAGCAGCTGATGAAGTGTCCTGTCTCCTGTTAGACCACAAAGTTTACATCTGGCACCGGCGCAGTGAGCTGCCCATCGCAGAGCTGACTGGTCATACCCGCACAGTCAACTGTGTGAGCTGGAACCCCGTCCTGCCGGGACTGCTGGCCAGCGCATCCGACGACGGGACCGTCCGTATCTGGGGACCTGCCCCTTTCCTGGATGTCCAGGATGCAGAGGGGCTCAATGGTATGAACATGAAAACTAGTATGTGTACTCAAAACGGAAGAGGTTGGATTATCTGTCAGCCATTGCTTTCATCAGGCTCCTCAACAGTTTACATAAATAGGAGTAGAATCCACAGTTTCTTCCTACATTTTGTTTTGAATTAACACCAGCAGTCCTCCTCAACACAAGCACATTTCAAACTCTGAATGTTGATGAAATATATTCATGTATAATCTTGATTTGAAATTTAGTAAAATGGCTTAGATGACGTCTTTGAGTAAGAATCCTAAACATGGAAAAAATGATTCCATGTTTAATGAAAACTACATAAAACCAAGTAATAATAGATGAAATAAATAATTAAATAAGACTAAAAGTAATATAGTAAGAAATAATTGCGCTAAGATACAACAAAAACAGTTCAGGAGAATCCACTTTTAAATAATGCCTTTTTAAGAGAGCTTTAAATGAAGAAACAGAGCTGGCTTGCCTGATCTACAGACTCGAGGGGTCCTGACTCCAAACACCCGGTCTCCTCTGGCTTTTAGCCTCGACTTAGGACCTACAAACAGACCCCCGCCAGAGGATCTAAGGCTGGTATGGGGATAGCAGGTCACAGGTCGGTCCTTAAAAATGATCATTTCATCATCAAATCTTAAAATCTAACCTAAATGTAAAGGTAACCAATGTAGGGATGCTTCTATGCACTCTTTTGTTGGATATTGTGAGAAGTCTTGCTGTGGCATTCTGGACCAGTTAAATAAAGCCTGAAGCGGTTGCATTGACTTAGAGAGACACAAAGATTCGCAGTAAGCTAACCTGATGGATGAGAGTTTCCATGTTCTTCTTTACAGATGAAAAAGGTTTAGGAATGTTACAAAGTAACAGGAAGCCACAGACTTGTTAAAGATGACGCCTCATTTCTACAGAGAACCTAAGGCTACATGCACACTACTACGTTTCATTATAAAACAGCGTTTTAAAACAAAAATGATCTCCGTCCAGACGAGTGTTTTAGCGAGGTTTTAGGAATAATCTCCGTCCGTACTACCACGCCTGAAATCACATGACCAGGGCTGGTCATGACGCTGCATACGGGATTTGTTGCAAAGCATTGGAATAATAGCATGTGCATGTAAGCAGTAGTAGCATTTAACTGCGACAGATGGTAGCATAGAAAACAAGTTCAGCAACACCTCTAATTTGTTATCCATATTGGAATTAAACTCTGAATTGAGGTTTGTTAGGTTTGATTTAAAATCAAAGGTTCTGCTACCTTTACCAAGAAAGAACATTATTGAAGTTATTTAAAATGGATGTGTAAACAGCTGGCTCTTTGAGAAGTGGTTGAACTATGGCCAGAAGTTGAGTGGATGATTGATTATGGCTGGAATAAAAGGACAGGTTGACTGAAATATCTCCTTAGTTGAAAGAATATCCAGGGAACAAGATGATGATTTCATGTTGGTAATGCTATCTTGGTTAGCTGCTTAGCAGTGACAGATTTAAATGCTACCACCAGGGTGCAGGATGAACTATAGCAAAAAGAGTAATTCAGTTCCAAAACAAACACCAAAACAAATCCTCACATTTATCAATGAAAGGTTCAGGAATATGTTCAGTAGGGTTTGTGATGTGGCTAGTAACAGTTGTTTCACTTCAGATCTGAAAATACTTTGATTTTTGAGTTTCTGTAGCCTTTCAAGGTTAGGGCAAGGTTTTAAAGCCATTTGCGTTGTGCTTGTGACAAGTTTTCTGAATGGATTGAATCATAGAGCCAGAGATGCTGAGATGACGATTTAAAACATTGCAAAACCTACAGCACACTTCAGTCTCTGTGACAAGACTGACCACGCTTTGCCCAACTGGCCTGCTCTTAGTAGGTTAACAGCTCAGTGCACACAGCTAAACTGTCTGTATTTTCATCAATGTATATGGTGATGGCACACCTACAGTAACCTCTCTAAAATAACACAAACCCATATTGTCCAGTATTATGTCATTTGACCTCACACAAATTGCAACAACTGTTTTACTTGTATCGTACCCCTAAAGGTATCCTCATTTACATAGACAAAAGTGTGACTTCACAGTTAAAAGGGGTACCCTTTCAAAGATCTGGGTAGAACTAGACCAGATCTGGGTCGAATAGGATCAGATATGGGTTGAACCAGGTCTGGGTAGAATAAGAGCAGGTCTGGGTAGAACATGACCAGATCCTAGTAGAAATTAGGACCATATCTGGTTGGAAATAGGACCAGGTCTGGGTGGATAGCACCAGAACAACTATGTAATCATAATTAGTTCTCATCACTGATGTACTGTATTTGTTTTTTGTTGGTTTTTTTGCTTCAAGGAAAAAAACCGAATGGACCAATCTATAATGCACAACAATGTAGGCTTGTATGGTGGCTGAAATATGGCTGACAAGGTGTTCTTGGTACGATCATACTTGGGCGATTTTATTCCCCTTTATACAATTCCTTGGGACTTTTATTTCTCTCATTCAGACCGTGGGGACACAAAATGTATCGAGTTTGTTGCTTGTTGCAATTTGCGTGAAGTTGTCCCACATTTGGAGGTAAAATGCCTGGACTGGTGCAGAGCAAAGATCGATGAGGGATTCTTACCAGCATCCAGCTAGTTGTTTCTAATATTTTGTCCAGCCATTTTTGTTCAATCAGGGTCGACTGAATATGAGGAACAACACACAAGAGTCCTGGGTGACTTTCACACCATGTGATTGTACTTTCCATCCAGGCAGCAAAAACACACTATCTGTCGACAAACATATCTTTTAATGTTTGTGCTGCTGGTTTCTGGCTAGAACACCTCACTTATAATGAATGAAAATCAATTCTTAAGAGCTCCTCCTGAAGAGAATCTGCAGCCTGCGGAACAGAAATGTGTGAGTTATGAATGCTATGACTTCTGTCTTTTTCCTGTGCTGTCAGAATGTTGCAGCATGGACAGCTGATGATCTGCTGCTGAGGAGCACTAAGACTCTTAGACACTTGAATGGATGAAGCAGGAAACGTTTTGGTCACTGGACAGCAGCTTCCTGGAGACGGGGCCAGTCATGCATGTCAGGATGTCACAACACAGAGATGTCAGACCTACTCACATTATTGAGAGCAGAGCCGGCCAGATGAAGCTGGGCTCCACGACCTCCAGTATCTGACCCGCCTCCTGTCCGCTCCGTTCCCTCAGTACCATCCAGGACCACCCACCTCCTCTTATTTATTATCAACTACATTATGTATTCATGAGTAGTTCACGGACTTGTGCTAGGCTGTCACATAGCGGCGCCTTGTGGAGGTTATGTGTTGTTATTTTTTATTCAGTCCTGAGTCTGATCTGCTCTGAAGAAGCTTCAACTTTTTTCATCTTTCACCTCCTAAAGAGATTTGAACTATAAGGCCATTTGATGGATGCACCCACTTGAAGAGTATCTTTAAATAAAAAAAAATCTATCATTTATGCAGAGTACATTTTAGTTTCTTTTTTTCCTCCAGCTTTGCTGCTTCTAACTAGAGAAGGAATAGTATGTGATGAGCATGTTGCATACGATTGCACAGGACGTTTTACACTCGCAGTGTGTCCTGCTATAGAATAGATTGATGCCTTCTGAGAGTATACAGCAGATGTGTGGAAACCTATAGAGTTCGAAGGATTATCTGTCCATCCTTACCTCTGCATAATTATCTGTGTAGTTTGCTCTTTATGTTGCTGTGACATCTTTGCTCTCTTCACTATTTGCTCTTTATTTCTGTTTCCATTGCAGCCTGTTGCCCTCTTTCCCTGCATACAAACAGTCTTCATATGAATTTTACTTTGTTTGGTTTAGTTGTTACATGTTTTAAGTTGAACTTATTACAATTTTTAACTTATTTGTTTTTGATTTACTACAAGTGGAGAGAGACACTCCCTGATTTCTTACTGTACCCAGTAGAGCCCCCAAAATCCCGGCTCAACTGTGATCTTTGGCTGGTGTTGTTGTTATGTTTCATATTGTCAACAAATCCAATGAAAAGACCAGAAGCAACAATGTGTCTGTTTGTCAGAACTTTCTGACGTCTCTAACCTGTCTGACACTAAGCTGCAAGCCCATTGGTTCCTACTGAAGATGTAAATCTTTGAGCCTTTTTTTAAACGTGTCTTTAGTCATTTCCTAAAGCAGATGGTTACTGTGGTTTGTAACAAACATTACTCAGTCAGGAAGAAATGGTGCGTTTGTTGATTATTGACTATTTTGATCGGAGAATTAATCCAAAATTGGCGCTCTAGTGAGTATTTGTGCAGCAGGACGGTGTGTGTGGGATTGAGTCAAAATAAAGGTCAGTGTGTGTGTTCACACACTGACCTTTATTGACACAGGAGCATGTCAGCCAGTGAAACCATGTAACTCATGTGTTTGAATAGTTTGTGGACAACAATGGAGCTCTATGGCACAGATGAAAAATATCTATCAGGCGGTGATACACACAATACTTGCTTTCATTTTTTACAAGTAAGGTCTGTGCATGAGATTTGTTCATGATATAAATAAAGAAATAAAAAATTGCCGGCCATAACTAAGTTCAGGACATTAGTAAGCTGAGGAGACACAGTAACAAAGTGATGGAGTGTATCTGTAACAATCATTGTACACAAGTGTAACATAAGGTTAATATGAACGTCTACAGTGTTCCCTTCAGAGAGTCAAAAGAACAATCTTGCCGAATATAATAGTCTGTGTAATATGTTGTGTATATTTGTATGTAATGGCATGTATTATGAGGCTGTGTAGAAAAGGCAAACAGGATGATGTGTTCAGGGTTCCCATGCAAGTTTTTTTTACTGTCAAATTCCAAAAGGTTTCAGATGCTCTTTCAGCGCTTCATAACAAACAGTCTTCACTGCACTACTGTTGTATACTGTTGTAATATTAAGCAGCAAGTTTACATTAACATCTGCTTACACAGAAAAATCAATGTGAGATTCACAAACTACAGTGCAGCTGAACTTACGTTTTGGTTTCCAAACTGCTTCAACAGAGAATTTCTTTTTCAAAACCTTTCCAGGCCAGAACAATAACCGCAGGATGTTCAGGACTGTGGGAACCCTGTTTGTCTGCCAAGACGCCATCACCACTTCCATCACACATCACACATGCGCTAGTGGTACACAATAATGGATGTCACACACACACTTGATTCAATCACAGATGTGATGTTCTAGTTTCTGCTTTTGCAGCTTCCTTTGTTTATTCCGAGTATTTCAGGCTTTTCTTTTCTCTTCTCGTTATAAGAAGCCAAAGTAGGAACTTTGTTTGCTTGCAGGCAGTTTCTGCCAGAAACCATTTGACATTTTAAATGTGTTATTACAAAACGTGATTGTACTGTTGTGTATTGTCTGTCGGAGAAGTGTTATGTACGCTTATTTTAAATAAAGCATTCAGGGTTTTAAAATGTAATTTACTTTGAAATGGTCTTCCAGTAATACTATGACTATAACTATAGCAAATTATGTCATAGCAAAGACGTCATTAAATACTAACGCTGACACTAACACTGATAAAATGGTGTTTTGACAAATAAAAACTCCATAACCTCTTTATTCTCCTCACCTTACACCTCTCTTTGAAGAAAGATCAAATATCAGTCAACCGGTTTTTATCAGACGACAAGTTTACATCTTATGTGGAATGAGTTTGACAAAAATGACAGAATTATATGGTTGGCTATAGCTTCACGGAAATATTCAATATAATCTAATGAAAAAGGACATTTGACACAGGACTAAAACTAAAGGAAAAAATGGACAAAATTAGGAGATAAAACACTGACTAAAATGTAATGACTTTTACGCAACTAAAACTGAAATAAAACTAGGACTATAATTCGACTAAAACTAATCAATTTGGACTAAAGATTAAGAGTAAATGTAAAATTGCTGTCAGAATGATGCTCTGCCGGTCTGACTGGTGTCTTCATGCTCTGACATCTGACCTAGTGTGACAGAACCTTCAGAACCTTCATTGTTTGACTAGATTTGGGGAGGAAACAGACACTGACAAAACAACTAAAATGATTGAACAGTTGACAAGAAATGGATTTAACCTCAAAGGGAGAATAGGAAGTAAAAGTGGACATGCTTCAGACAAACAACTTGTCTTTCATTTTTATTTATGAAACATCACATCCCCCTCCAAAAACCCCACACCGCATAAGACAGTTAAATGTGAATCAGACATGAACTTGTTGACCCCCACTGAAGAGAGAAATGGCTCCAGAGTACCTGCACACAATACAGAGCAGCTGTGACTGCTCTGTCTACACAACCAAATAAAGAGCACATGCACACCTCTGTGGTCCCAGAGCAACACTGACACACATGCTGATCTGGGGTCTGTCTCACTTTGACATACAGTATGTGTTCAATGCAAAGGTCATTCAGTAAACACACCATCAGTGCATGACTGAGGTCTGTGAGCCTCCTCCTGACATCATGGGCTGAGCTGTGGCCTTACTGATAACAACACTTCAACACCATCAGAAACCTCCCATCTCAGCATTTCATTTTGAAAACTTTTGATACTTTGACCAAATATGATGTGAACTAAAGAAGTTCAGAAAAATGGAGCATTGGACTAGACGGAACAAAAGCACCACATCCACCAGCAGGTGACTGTAGATGGACGTATCCCGATTGAAGAGAGGATCGCTTGGTATGTCCAGCGTGAGCAGAGCAACAGCACACAGCCAACATGTTGGTACGCTTCAGGAGGAGAGGGTTGTCTGACACACTGTACACTCTTTGAGCTCATGGCTCTTTCTCACCAGATGGTAGTTCATTTTGTCTTTTATGTTTTGGATTATATTGACTTTTAATTCTTTGTTGCTGTACTCTTTCACTGTAAAACACTTTGCACGTTGGTTTTTGAAAGGTGCTATAAAATGACGTTAATGGCCCAAACCCAGAATGGGGAGGACATGTGACCTCGTGGAATGATTGTTGGTGAAGTATATACTGAACAGTCTCTGGAGGTCACAGACTGGTATGAACAGTGACTCCAATGAGTTACATATGTTGAGTACCGCTTCAGCTGAACACCACAGCAGGTCCCAGTACTGGCCACAACACATCATTAGTTTTGAGGTTCAAGCACCATTGGCATTTTTCCAAATGTGGCTTTGGTGGAACAACACACTCAAGACTTCCACCGTATGTTCAGATGGACAGAGAAATATTACTCAGTGTTGTTCTAGTTCTCTCTGCTCTAGGAGGAAGTCTGGCTCACTTTACGGTGAAAATGTCTAATATTTCTTACAGCCACTATGTCGGTGTTGTTTTTACTCACTATTGCATATAGAGGTTATTACTTATCCCCTTCACAATAACACACAGCGCGTGTTGTAGGAGATGTTTGCATGATGGTGCCGAAGTGCTAAATGGTTAAATGTCAACCTCAGTATGAAAGTGAAAACTCTGCGATTCTGACAACACAAATAACAGTTTGGAGCTCAGTAAGACCTCAGTGACAGTAAACTTCTTCTCTCTGCTGTTGGTAAAGATTGTATGCATACAGTAGAGGAGCAGGGTGTGGGGGGGGTGATGGCAAAGCCTGGACTATGGAATCCTGCAGCTCGCTGGGTGCTTCAGTCATTGATCAGAGCCAGGATCATGCTGGACAAACAGGGGAGGGAAAGATATATGTTAATATAGAACTGACCATGTACAGCCACCTCTTGTATTCAGCAACATGTCACTTAATGTCAGTGTGTTTGTCGATGCTGTTGCTCTCACCTATACAAATAAATGAAGAAGCAGAGCAGGTGGTAACCCAGTTTAATCATGGCCTCCTTCATGTGGGACTTGAGCTGACCTCGGTTATGGATCTCAGTGGGGTCAAACACGCCCATGTTTCCCATCGGAACCTTCGCATACCTGCAGGGAGAAGAAGAGAGGGATGTCAGGAGCCTGACTGCACCACCAGTGGACAGTAAGACACCAACTCTGTGTTATTACCCACTGAAGAAGCTGTGATATGGATATCACCTTCACAGACATATCAAAATATAACACATTATATATTTCCTGATAATTCAATAGATAGATCAGATAGAATGTATGTTAGCTTATCCAGTGAATGAAGTACCAGAAACATCTAATATCACCACGAGGTGGTCCTGCTCATTGGTCTAATTCCCTCGGAGACAAAGGAATTCCTGCTTCGTCATAATCTGCATTGCTAAATATCTCTTCTCTCCCAGAATATATGTGTGTATTTAGATATACTGTGGTGTTGGAGCAGGACAGAGCAGTGGCTGCAGTATGAGCATACCTATAAATGTTCCAGGCTGCTACAGGCAGGTTGAGGACAAAAATGAACCAGTGCATGGAGACCAACATCAGCATAGTGGTGAGACACTGGCCAACCATCTCTGGAATTACCCACTGGAAGCGGAATATCAAACAGAAACATCACAATACAATCAAACTTCTCTCTGTAGCATCTGTATAAAATGACACAAAAGTCAGCTTTAGCAATTGCATGGCATGTATCATATAACAATACATTAAAACAAGTTAATAACAAATACAAATCATCATAAATAAAAGAGGTATATGTATGTCCTCTGACCATAATAATGACTCACTCTGTTTAGCTTGGCGCAGCAGGCTCTAGCATTGATGTAGTCACATTCTAGATCAGACAGGGTGATAATCTGAGCTTTAGTCAAGGTGCCACAAACTGCCTGCTTCTGTCAGCTCCATTCAACTGGACACAAAGACCCATGACAGACCACATGTTCACTTCTGTGATTATGAGACAGAGGAAACTAATGGAATATGTACTGTACTGATTTCTAGCAACTTTAAAGCTTGGACCATTGACAGTGACATCCAAATAAAGACAACATCAAGGATATATGCATAGACTTGTTTTACACAGGACGACCGAATATATTGTTCATCAGATTGTGAACATGGTTATGAAGAGAAATGTTACTTTAAGCCATTGGATAGACAGAACTTGGGAATAACTTGTAATTATTATGTTAAAAATAAAATCATGGTCATCAGTAATGGCTCTCAACAACATCAAATTGTCACGTAGCTATAAGTAGCCGTATCACTAACGACAGACGGAACGTTAGCAAGCTAAATATTTGTTTTTATCTCCTGTTTATTTAAAACGTTTGATGTAACTTCCCGTTTCTTTAACGTTACCAGTTTTTCTGGTGTTAAAATAGCTCCATCTTATCTAGTTTACGGTAGCCTGTCACTGACTCTGTAGCGTTAACAAGGCGGCTAACCGGTTAGCTAGTTAGCTTCATGTACTAACATAGAAAGGAATTGAGGAGCGCTTTCGGCCAGCTAGCCGCTTTGACCAATACGCGCGATGTCCGCCCAAAAACAGAATTCCGAAAAGGATACAAAGTACACCGAGAGGAAAATCAGTGCACAGCAGTCCACAAGTGACAGAATGAACACTGCCGCCTCCATTTTTCTTCTTCCGTTAGTGATTTGTTTTCATTTCCGGCCAGTTCTCGATCCCGTGCCGTGCCCACAGTGACACATGTTGTATCGCAGTACTGCCACCTAGCGGATTGGAATGGAGCTGTTTCCCCCCCAAACTGAGAAAGAGTAATGACCATAACATAAATAAGAAACAATAACATTAAGATCTGTACAAAGAGTCAAAGTACAGGTTTAGCAAGGCGGTGAGAGATGCTAAACGACTGTACTCTGAGAAACTGCAACATCAGCTCTCAGCCAATGACTCTGCTTCTGTCTGGAGAGGTCTCAGGCAGATTACCAACTACAAGCCAAAAACCCCCCCACTCCATGAACGACCTCCGCCTGGCAGACGAGCTGAATGAGTTCTACTGCAGATTCGAAAGACAATGGGACAGTCCTGACTCCATCCCCCACAGCCCCATCAACCAGCCCCAGACCACCAGCCCCCCCTCCCCCAGCTCAGCAGGGGCCCATGCCTCTGTATCACCAAACCCTCACCGACCCACTCCTGGACCAACTGCAGTTCGCTTACAGAGCCAACAGATCTGTAGATGACGCAGTCAACATGGCCCTTCACTTCATCCTCCAGCATCTGGACTCCCCAGGAACCTACGCCAGGATCCTGTTTGTGGACTTCAGCTCTGCTTTCAACACCATCATCCCGTCTCTGCTGCATATCAAGCTCTCCCAGCTGCAGGTGCCCGACTCCACCTGCAAGTGGATCACAGACTTCCTGTCTGACCGGAAGCAGCACGTGAAGCTGGGAAAGCACGTCTCAGCCTCCAGGACCATCAGCACTGGTTCCACCCAAGGCTGCGTTATTTCCCCACTGCTCTTCTCCCTGTACACCAACAGCTGCACCTCCACTCACCAGTCCGTCAAGCTCCTGAAGTTCGTGGATGACACCACCCTCATTGGATTCATCTCTGGTGGGGATGAGTCCGCCTACAGGTGGGAGACTGACCATCTGGTGACCTGGTGCGGTCTGAACAACTTGGAGCTCAACGCTCTAAAGACAGTGGAGATGGTCGTGGATTTCAGGAAGAACGCAGCCCCACCAGCCCCTATCACTGTGTGTGACTCCCCCGTCGACGTGGTGGAGTCCTTCCGCTTCCTGGGCTCCATCATACCCCAGGACCTCAAGTGGGAGCTGAACATCAGCTCCATCACCAAGAAGGCTCAGCAGAGGATGTACTTCCTGAGGCAGCTGAAGAAATTCATCCTGCCAAAGTCAATGATGGTACATTTCTACACAGCCATCATTGAGTCCATCCTCTGCTCCTCCATCACGGTCTGGTACGCTGCAGCCACAGCCAAGGACAAGGGCAGACTGCAGCGCATCATTCGCTCTGCTGAGAGGGTGATTGGTTGCAATCTGCCGTCCCTCCAGGACCTGTTCGCTTCAAGGACCCTGAAGCGAGCACGAAAGATTGTAGCCGACCCCTCTCACCCTGGACATGATCTGTTTGTGCCCCTTCCATCTGGCAGGAGGCTGCGGTCCATCAGAACTAAGACCTCACGCCACACAAACAGTTTCTTTCCGTCCGCAGTCAGGCTCATTAACAAAGCCCGGGTCCCCCACTGACTGTCATCCCCAGGACATTTCCTTCTGGGCTCTCCCCTGCACATCCCTGTTTCTTTATTCTTTATTTAAACACTCTCGTCACTTTTAACATTTCACTTACACTTCACTTGTTTTACAGTCCTGTTATCTGTTTTGTTGTGCACTTTATTTTATATTTTATATTTTATTGTAAATTTTAATATGTTTCTATTTCTCGCACTGTGTTGATTGCTGATAGTTTAATGTTATTGTTTATTGTTAAATGTTACGCACCAATCCGCCACGACAAATTCCTTGTAGGTGCAAACTTCCTTGGCAATAAATGGTTCTGATTCTGATTCTGATTCTGATCTGGCTTATCAGGGGTTGTAGAAAATAATAAAATAAAATATAAGCACTCTCACCTCACAGTAAGAGGGGGGCCGGGTTCGATCCTGGAGTTTGCATATTCTCCCTGTGTCAGCGTGGGTTCTCTCTGTGCAGCTTAAGTTAACTAGGGACTCTAAATTGCCTGTAGGTGTGGATGTGACTGTGAATGGTGGTCTGTCTCTATGTGTCAGAACTGAGATAACTTGCGACCTGTCCAGGGTGAACCTTGCCTTCATCCAATGTCAGCTGGGATCGGCTGTCATTAAAGTTAGTAATCATGTACAAATTAAATTCAACTCGGAAAAATTGGAATGTTTGGGAAGAACTTGCCTTATGTATGTGACATTTGCCATTGGCAAGTATGCCATTTGTAGCTCAAAGGTTTATCATTATCTCTTTCAAATTCTAGTGATAATGTCTTTAGGCATAATTGCTAAAGAATGTCCAGTCTTGTTATAAACAGACTTCTCTATATCTTCCCAAAACACAAATGAGAAAGGCAGTGGTGGGCCGTCCAGTGTATGAATGGATATGTCACGATCAGGCTTTGCCATCTGTGTTCTGTGTGTGTCTTTGTGTAGCTCCACACCCTCCTCACTCTACCTGTCAGCCACTCCCTCAGCAACTCCCTTCACCTGCCTCTGATCACTAATCAAGCACTCCCTCATCAGCACAACTCCTCTCACCTGTTCAAGCCACTATTTAAACCCCTGCTTCTCAGTCACTCTTTGCCGGATCATTTCCATGTCTACCCGCCCGTTTGGCTTGTCCTGTTCCCGGGTTCCCACGCCTGCCCTGCCTCGTCCTGCTGGAGTGTCTCAGTTAATATAGTGGTTTGTCAAGGTCTTATTTTCTGTGTGACTGTGCCATTTTTTTCTGTCTCTTGTCTTGTCTGTGGATTCCCTGTGTGTTCTTGTAAGTGTCCTGTTCTGATTTAAGTATTCATTAAATACCTGCTTCACTCTATGTCTGGTCTGGTCTGTGTTTGAGTCCTTCACCACACCCCGTGACAGGATATGGATGGGTGAATGATGACATGTAGTGTTAGAGTGCTTTAAGTGGTCGGAAGACTAGAAAAGCGATATACAAGTACAAGTACATTTACTTCCCAGTCTTCCGACCACTTAAATCCCTGTATTGTACATGTCAACATTCACCCATTTACACACACATTCAGGTGTCATATAAGGAGCCAGGATCCAAGGTAACACACAGATGGCAAAGCCTTCAGGAGCTGTTTGGGGGCTGGATTTAACCACCAAACGTCCACTTAGTGGACGACTCACTCTACCCCCTGAGCTACGGGCGCCCCATACATCTGTTAACTTGATCCCATCCACCTTTAAACATGCCACTTGACCATTAACATTTGGGTAGGCTAAGTGACATTTCATGAATTCCATTTGACCTGAAGGGGTGGCACTTATTACGGAAGCAAATTCTTTAGGTTTGAGCTGGAAAGATTCGGCTCTAAAGAATTTTTTTACAACTGTAAAGATTACCTTTATCATCAAAGTAGTAACAAGTATTCTGCCCCTTTCATTCAGTTCCCTTTAAAGACTTTTATTGCTAACAGTGATATTCTTCCTTCTGTTCTCTCTAAACTATTGGCTATTTCTCTTTTGAGGTAGTGGTGACTATTTTTCTACACAAATTTGATAAATACACTTATTTACAGAACACATTAACAAGGAATGGAGTGAAACTGATGACAGCCCAACCTGGGTCATTATGTCACTGAACCCTCATTGGTGCTAAGATGGAATTCTGACAAAAAGAGCTACTCGCTCAGAATGACCTACCAGTAGCTCATCCTGTCTGGTCTGATGAACCCTCGATACATGAAGCAGTTGAGTAGAGTAGCTCATTCTGTCATGGCCTACCATCTCTGTAAAAAAGCAGTAGCTGTATTTGTCAGAACACCAGAAGTATTCTATATGTATTATTATAATAGAGTATCTTAGTTATTACTAGCTAACCAACCAAACTGTTAATGATATTTAATAATATTCAGGTGTGCTAAAGTTAGCCAGCTCTCTCGATAATGTTTCCGATTATTTTCAGGAGGTGGCATATTCATTGCCAAATAGTATATACCTCTATAAATCTGGACCTTTATAACCTGCTCTTGCTAAATTAGAATGGTGTCACGATGACGTAATGACCCTTCCTTCTTTTTTATATTCCTTGTACAGCCACAGAAGCTGGACAGAATAAAACACACACCTCAAATTATTAAATTACAAGTAACAATGACTAAAACAGAGATAATATGATGGAAGGCCTGGCTCAGAACAAATGGTCCAGCGGGTTTACACAGACATGTTGTTCAGGTAGTCCACAATGTGATATTTGTCATCACATCTAGTAGCTGTCACCATAGTCAGTACAAGCCTTCAGGGTTTGACCTATAGTACTTTGGTTATGTGCAGACTGTGCATGCTTCTGTAACATGTGTTTCTGTTCCATCATCATATCATTCACATAATATTTCATATTAAAAAAACTTTAATTGTTGTTGATAGTTAAGTTTCAACAATTGTATAGTCAATGCAAATGCTATCCAATAAAGTGTTAACTAGTACATAGATAATCTATTATTGTCATCAAAGTCTTAAAAGTGGTTGACAGTATGTGTGTCTGCAGGTATACAAGGTGTGTTCGTGCAGTTTTTGAAAGGTGAGGTGACCCATAATCATATTTTCACTCAGCTAAATTGTTGTTCGTGCACAACAAATATTATGAAAGCTGGTTCAGCAGAAACAGGGACTCACCCTGCTGTTACTCATAAGGAAGTGGGCAGGGCTGCAGGGGAGAATATGAGAATAGTAAACTGTGAAGGAGGAAGAAAGAGGGAATTTTCTTTTAGCCTAGTGACAATGCTGAAAAAGGAGAGTATCACTCTGCTTGAGGTGAAAACTGCAGAGAGGCAGAGGCAGAGAGGAAAAGGAGTTCAGACACTAAACACAGACGGACAGCAGAGAAGACAGTATGGAATGGGTCACTCGTGTAATCTATTTGCACATACCACTTAACCTTATCATTCTGGAAACAGGACATGCCACTGAGAAGGATACCAGGGTTCTGGGAGCTACAGCCCCTGGAGATATCATCATCGGAGGAATCTTTCCCATTCATGAAGACGTAGACAAAGAGAACAACTCATTTGCACCGCAACTACAGCCATGTCTCAGGTGAGATCATTCAATCCAATGCAATAAATGATAAACAGACCATCTTTTTCACTTCACTTTTCACCTAATCCTAAAAGGAGAGTTTAGTCTTGAGAAACCAGGAGATAAACTCATAATATATCCAATATTCTTCAATGGTGGAAGAAGTTATCAGAGCCTTTACTTTGGTTAAATAATAATGATAATAAATAAAAGTAGAATCCTGCACTCAAAATTGAATTAAACTTGTATTTATTTGTGGCAATGCTTATCATGTATTGCTTATTTTTCCCAAACTGGTGATATATTTGTTTGTAAAGTCATAATCTGCATATAACTATTACAAATAGATAAAAATTCACTCCAGAGTGTAATGAAAACATAATTAGAAAAAACAACAACATGATTTAGTAGTCTAAAATGGAAATACTGGCAAAACTACAACATCATTCTAAAGTCAATTAATTAGCAAAAGTAAACTATTGGTAATATTTCCACACAGAACAAAACAACATGTCATCTCCAATAGACTAATTATGATGAGAACACACTGAGGCACCTGGTGTTGCATAGTATCTTTTTAGCAGTGGTAGGCCGTCATGGCCAGCAAGGCCTTCTCTGCTGGCCTAAACAGAATCACAAAGTTATAGCTATTTTATAATTTAATAATTTTTCACAAATACACTATTAGTTTTCTCTTATTTTTCTGACTAGTTAGGGAGTTCAGTATTGTGTTTGTTTGTTCGTAGGCCAGCTGACCTCTTCTTTTCCAGTTAGCATGGGGGTTTTGTTTATTATGTTGGCCTTAGAGACCCTGACGGCTACGCTTCCTTATTGGTTGGTTTGTTCCTGTTCATCTATACTATTAATAAATCTGTCTAATTGCCGCTGCCTTATCCTCTTGGTTTTTGTTAAACTTTTGCCAAGGTTTTCCATCACCTTTATGTTAGTTCCAGTGTACCCCTAGGCACATTATATAGGCCGTAACAGGGTCCTTTAAAACAGAGGTGTGGAGAATGACATTGCCTTTGTAAAATTCCCTGTTTGGCCATTCTGATTTACTGCGCTCCATTAAGATGTGTGCTGGTATGAGGAGGAGCAGGTAGAGAGCCGCTCTGAAAGGCTCTCTTTCTCTTCGTCCCGCACACTCTTGAATATTTGATAGTATTATAATTTTTTTTCCCATTAGCTTATTTTCTCATTGCACAGCTCCTGTCTTCCTCTGTTGCTCTGCTTCCACCCTGCAGCGCTGCTTACAGTGCAGCTTGTTTTAAAGAGAGCTTTTATCCAATCAGATTCAGCCCCTATGTCTCTAGGTAAGGAGAGAGGTCCGATGCCTGCTAGAGAGACTTTGCAGTTTAAGTGAATGGGGACGATATCGTTGATTGTCATAGTCTTCAACCAATCAGATCTTTAGTTTGACATGTTGGGCGTATTCTTTGACGTGCCAGTGGCACCGAGGTAGCCTTCTAAGTATGTCAGCAATAACATGTGCCGTGATTGGTCAGTGGGCCAGTGTGAAATTTAAGGAAGCTGGCAGAAGTTAGTTGGAGTAGTAAGAGTTCAAATTGAAAGATATGGAAGAAATTATAAAATGTTTAAGGTTTTGCTTGGTGTAGTTTATTTATTTTTATGAATGGTGTTCCTGGCTGACAGCGTCGCACATTTTATGGCTGGGAATGTGTTTCATTTTAACTGAGCGTCTTGGTGTTTGGAGTTATGCTACGCTAACCTGAGGACGCTATAGCACAGCAGGACACTATGGTGCTTTTGAAAACTTTTGGAGAAACCCGAGTGGATCGACAGATCAACGAACACGTTCGCAGGGAAACGGAGCTCCACAACCGCGGTCCGCCTGTGGCCGGTCTGTGGCCGGCGGACTGCAACGGCCAGCGGGCACGGCGGCGGAGGTGGGATCCCGGCCCCGCTGTGAACCGGCCGCTGCGAACTGGCCGCCGCGGACCGGCGAAATACAACTGGGGAGGCTCGACTGTCACTGGCATGAATCGAGAAGGACTTCTTACTGGAACTGAAACGATGTAAACTCTTTGTCAACAAAGAAAGGAGGATGGACTTTGTCTTTAAGTGAAAAGCATTCGGTAGGTGACAAACTGCATTTGTTTTTTTACATCTGCAGTAACGTTACTACTGTTCATTTGTCTATCATGTCGTTTTTATGAATAATATTTGAATGGCTTGTGCTCTTGTGTGGTGGAATGTGTGGATCCGCTGCAGGTCTGCTGGATTGATGTGTTGCTTTGTTGTCATATGAATATATGTGACTGGTTCGTATGACTTTGTTGTTGTCATTGTGTTAATTACATTGATTTGACTATGCATTGTCCGTTAATGACGCAGCGTCCCGTCATGCACGGATTCATGTATCTGCACCGTAGCTGTTCAACTGTAGTAGGACAGCACAGAAGGCCCAGGTATAAAATGCACGGCCCGCCACTGGTTTTTAGTAACTTGATTTTTATCAGAAAGTCTTGAAATGGAAATAATATTTCACCCTCTTCCATCCTGTCTCGTATCAGTTCTCCAGTGTATCACATCTTTACACATCTGTACTGTATTCATTACTTGTTTGCACAGGTTTGAAGAAAGAAGCCTGGTGAGGGTGCTGGCTATGATCAATGCTATAGAGATCGTGAATAAATCCCCTCTGCTGGCTGATGTCAACATCACTCTGGGCTACCGGATCATGGACTCCTGCTCTGATGTCAGGACAGCCCTGAAAGCCACAGCAGACTTCACCCAGCGGGCTGACTGCTACATCCGAAGCAACACTTTTGGTCAGCCAGTCATGGCTGTTGTAGGGGCCTCTTCCTCTGAAACATCCATCGCCATTGCCAGGCAACTGAGTCTCAAGATGATTCCTCAAGTAAGTAGTGAGTAACATGAAAATGCTGTTGAATCTTTGAAGGTGCCGGTAGGAGGACAGCATTTAAATGAGACAGTGTTGGCCATTACGTACAACTTGCACCACAGATGAACAGGAACATAACCAGTTGCATACTCTCAGAGTGGAAGTTTATTTGGGAGTGATCACAGAATTATCCCATTTATTGTCTGATTGGAAATTACCTGCACATTAACATTTTACTGTATTTAAATGGTTTTCTGGCAATGTTACATTTACTGTACGTATTTATTTTCGTATTAACATATAGACACTTAACATATAGAAAATGCATTATTCATTATAGTTATTCATACAGATACAAATAAGACTGTTGGGTGCATAACCTTCATCAGCCTGTGGGTTCAGGGTGGCCACTGAGTCACTGAAACATGCTTTGAAAATACACCATTCTATAAATCTAGAATGCAATAGGTGACTACAAGTTGTTCAGGCTATATTTCTGATCATTATTTGATGGTAGTAGTTCACACCTCAGCGTGAAAACTGAACTATCCTGGGAAAATGAGTCAACATGGCTCTGCCGCTATTTTGAGTGGTGTGTCCCAATATCAAATTTGAGAGATACATCAACCAAACCAGAGTATACATACATTCACAGATCTATGTACAGATTACACAAGAAGACATTTTTACAGATATTACAGATAATTAGGCTACAAGGAGCAATATGCATCCTAACGTCTAAGCCATAGACGTTATAGGTTAAAACAAGACAAAACAACAGGTTGACCCCTAAAAAACAGTCACAATGAGTTTATTAGACTTAAGTTGCAACTCAAGACCTAAGCAGAGATGTGATTGTATCATTTATGGCAGATCTCGGATCAGTTTTCTGTAATACATTTTTGATATGGTTGACATACAATCAGGCTGACAATTATTATACACCTGGGGATGCTGTGGCTCATAGTTGGCGCCCTAACCACTTGGCCACCAGGTCTGTCCGTTTTCATGATTATTACTTACCAACTACTTATTTTAACTGGTAAAAACATAACTGCCTTTCTTTTCTCCAGATCAGTTATTCATCAACTGCGGCTATTCTGAGTGATAAGAGCCGCTTCCCTTCCTTCATGAGGACCATTCCCAATGATGAGCATCAGACAGCTGCCATGGTCAGTCTGCTCAGCACCTATGGCTGGAACTGGGTGGGAATAGTTACAACAGATGGAAATTACGGCCAATCGGCTCTTGACAACTTTGTGTCCCAGGCCTCTGAAAAGGGGATATGTGTGGCCTTCAAATCAATCCTACCTCAATCTGTAACCAGTCAGGATGTCTGCTCTGCTATCACGCAGACGGCCAGAACCATCTGCAAGAATCCCAAGGTACAGGTCATTGTGTCTTTTGCCAAGCCGACTCACATGATGTACCTTTACCAAGAGCTGAAGAATCAGACGCTGACAGCAGGACAGAGCATGAAGACGATGAGAAGAGTCTGGTTGGCCAGTGACAACTGGTCCTACTCCAGCTTTGTGAAAGGAAACATAACTCTGGAGGACATAGGACACATTTTGGGCTTCACCTTCAAAAATGGAGACCTGTCATCATTCAGTGAGTACTTGAGCAGACTGGAGGCAGCTGGACATGACTACATAAGGAATAACACTTTCATGCAGGAGTTCTACATGCAGCTAAAAGCCAGTAACGATTCTGGAGAGACTGAACTGGTGTCTAAAGCTGTGAACAGACTTAGAGAACACACTTATGCCGGCACTATCTTTAGTGTTGAGATGGCTGTGAGCGCCATTGCTCAAGCTGTGGCGTCTATCTGCAGGAACAGAGACTGCAAAACCTCAGGCAAAGTGCAACCCTGGGAGGTATTCACATACATGAGTGTGCGTGTTTGTGTGTGTATGCTCTTGTGTTGTATATCTATGGTCCATATGGGTACATTTAAGGGTGAGTTAAGAGTGAGGGTAAGGTTAGGTTGAGATAACAGTTGAGGATTAGGTTTTGGCTGTTGACACATTAAATATGGTACCTTGGTATACTTACCATCACCACAGGTTTGAGACAGTTGGCATTGGACGTTGGTCTCTTTCACACACCCGTGGAGATGTTGGAATAAGTGAAGCTGGATGTGGTCACGAGGTAAAACAGGCTTGTCATGTTTGATCAGAGAGCGCAGCAAAACATGGCTTTTCAGCCGGCTGTTAAGTTACTCTTCGTGGGAATAATTCATTGATGATAGAATACTATGCAGCCCTTTGAGGTTAAGAACTAAGTAAGGGGACTGGATGCAATTAATTCATGGTCTTCTCATAGTAAAGTAGTCATGCATACAGTAAATACACAACAGGTTGTCCTTGCAAATAGTGTGGTTTTATTGACTTATCTAAGGTACTGACTTGGTAATGAAATGTTTCTTGTCTTGAAGGTCCTGAAAGCTTTGTGGATGGAGGAGTTTAAACTTAGAAAAAAGAGCTATAAGTTTGACAGCAGAGGAGACATCAACCTGGGCTATGATGTGACAATGTGGAGGTCAGATGGAGGGAACATCCATGTTCATAATGTTGTGGCTGAGTATCACCCACACAACAACAACTTTACCCGCACAAACCACAGTTCCACCCAACAGCTCCAGGACCTGAAGGTCGGCCCTTCTTCAGCTGTCATTTTGTGTACACACACACACAGAGACCCACACACACATTCTGCAGTCTGTGTGTTTACTCAAAACATTAAGACCATTAAAGCTGACTTAGGCAATACTGAAAAACAGTATTTCAGTTTTAACATTCAGTATAACCAACAATAAGTTGCACAGAATGCAGTAAAAATTAAATCAATCTGATTTACTATACAAGAGAAATAAGCCACAAACAATAAAGTAATCTCACGGTCTCTCCCTGCTCTCCTCAGCACATCATCTCGAAATGCTCCAGTAGCTGCGTCCCCGGACAGTTCAAGAAAACAGCGGAGGGTCAACACACTTGTTGTTATGAGTGCATCAACTGTACTGCAAACTACTACTCTAATAACACAGGCAAGACTGCCCCCCACACACACACACACACACACACACACACACACAGACTTATAGCCATGCTCTGGTTAAGTCTGGTGTGTTTTAGGTGATCATATAATTATTTTTTTTATAATATTAACTATTTGTGCTTACAGTACATGACCAGAAATCCAGATCACACTTCTAGCCTTACATATTTTTCAAACAAGGAACTAAGGAGCAGAAACTAAACTCAGGAGCCAAAAGTTCCCATTGTGCCTTCTTGATTGTGTTTCCACGACATCTGGAGACCCACATCTTGGCCAAATCTGTCCACTAAGTAGTTAAAAATGACAGCTGTGTTTACGTTGCATTTTGCATGGATGAGACAACAAAACAGTCACAGTGCTGTTCTATGTAGTCTAATATTGTGTGACTGTGATGTCTAATTGGACATGGAGAGAGACTGACTCAGCAGGGACCAGGAACTACATTTAGAAATCTGAAATGTAATTATTCTGGTCGAAACACAAGTTGAGCTCCTGAGTTCCAAAAGAGAAGAAAGTTCCTGTGGTGAAAGGTAAAAATCATCCTCTGCCTGTTTCATGCATCAATCAATTGAAATCAATGAATCGGGATAAGCCTGTGCTACTGTAGTTGTCTGTGAAGACAGTGGACACTTTCTTTAACTGTGATAATAACTCTCAAATGACAACAACTCAAATGTGACCTCACAACCCTCATTTGACATCAACATGTGAATGACCCAAACATGTTTGAATCCCTGAGACGTCCACAAGAGTTAGTCGAACTGATGGAGCCTCTCGATGAGAGAAGAAACGTCCTAAAGGCTGAAACAATAAATCTAGTTGCATTTAACTTCCAGTTTCCCTAGCTATTCTCATCACATTATGATGCTTATGTCAAGAACGAGGTTAGCTGGCTTGGAATTCTCTTTGCACAGAGTCAAATCATTTCCTGTGTGTGATTGTTTTGTTCTGTACCTGCTTGTGCTCCTTCACCCCTGCAGATATGGACCAGTGTCTGAGCTGTGACACAAACACAGAGTGGTCTACTGATGGCAGTTCCAGCTGCATCCCCAAAGCCCTACTCTACTTCTCCTGGCAGGATGGCTTCGCTGTGGTGCTCCTAACGTTTTCTGCCCTAGGCATCTTTCTGGCTCTGCTGGTGTCTGCTCTGTTTCTACATCGCCGGGACACTCCTGTTGTAAAGGCTGCCGGAGGGCCACTGAGCCAGGTCATCCTGTTCTCTCTGGTCATCAGTGACATAAGTGCCATGCTGTTTGTAGGCCGTCCCAACAGTTTCCAGTGTAAGGCTCGACAGGTGCTCTTTGGCATCAGCTTCACTCTGTGTGTCTCCTGCATCCTGGTCAAGACCCTGCAGATCCTGCTTGCCTTCCAGGTGGACCCTGGGACGCAGGAGGTTCAGCGAAGGCTCTACCAGCCTTACCTCATTGTCAGCATCTGTGTAGCCGTACAGGCAGCTACCTGCGTCTGCTGGCTGGTGCTAAAAAGCCCATTTAATCACGTCATCAGGCATCCAACCACTCTGCTGGAGGACTGTCATGAGGGCTCATATTTGGCCTTCGGGTTGATGCTGGGCTACATAGCTGTCCTGGCTTTAGTGTGTTTCATCTGCGCCTTCAAAGGACGCAAATTGCCACAGCAGTACAACGAGGCAAAGTTCATCACCTTCAGCATGCTGCTTTACCTCATCTCCTGGCTGCTTTTTGTTCCTGTCTACGTCACCACTTCAGGAGTGTACCTGCCGGCTGTGGAGATGGTGGTCATTCTCATCTCCAACTACGGCATCCTCAGCTGTCATTTCTTCCCAAAGTGCTATATAATCCTTTTAAAAAAGGAACACAACACCAAGAGTGCTTTTAGGAAGAATCTGTATGAATACTCCAGCAAAACCACAGACTCCGTCTCTGTGTCTGGTAACAAACTGCAGAGACTGGACTAGCTGCACCAGTTTGCACAGAGGTTCAATCAAACACTGCCTCAGAAGAAGCACCAGCATATAAACCACCATTATTAAGGGTTGACAAGAAATTATTCATATTGAACTATACATTTTTTTATTGTAAAGAATATATATTTACAAGATCTGAGCCTCCATTTCTGTGTATTCCAAAGTATGTCAGACGTTTTTCTTCTAATGTTTCATTTATCCTAATAAATATGGATATATTACAAAAAAACAAGCCGAAATTTACTTGGAAATCTTGGGAAAAAACTAGTCCGAAAACATAGCAGCTGGATTATTGATCCTCTAATTGGTTTATTTATTATTTAGTCTTTTCTTGAACAGCAACAGCAGAAATGTTTAAATAACTAATTATTGTAGACTATACTATTTAAATGCCAACAACGAATGTAAATTTGAGAACATTCCTATAGGGAGGAGTATATTTGGTGTTGAACACCTTGGTCATCTCCCTACAGTCAAGAAATAATTATTGTTAAGGTGTGTCAGCTGGAGTGGTAATGGGACTAGCAGCTTCAACCATAGACACAAAAATGCTACATTACGCATCTTGGATTAGAGCATAATAATCCAATACCTCGTTAAGGCCCATTGACTGAAGTTTATCTAAAGTGTCAATCGAAAAGAACTTCCTTTGGCATATTATTCTTTACATATCTCCCCCTCTTGGCAAGTCATGTGTTTAATGGCCTGGAGTTGTAGAAAGGAGATTGGGTGTGAAAATCCTTCGATATAACGAGCAACAGAATAGATCACATCGTTTGTGCCTGATGGAGCTCTTGTGCTCACTAATCCTCTGTTTCAGCATGCGTGTAGTTTCACCTATGTACATTTCTTTTGTTGATTTATCTGAAAAAAAAAGTTTTCAGAGTTGCATGCTTGTACTTTTTTCTCTCCCACAAAACCACACAACAGTTACACCTTCGCAAATTTGTTATTGCAGGTGCACAAATCCTATTCACAAACTAAGAAACTCACAAGTTCACATTTCTGCTACAGTTACTGCCGTGAATATGGTGCAAAACACATTCACACACCTGTATCAAAAAATGTGAAGTCACGGAAAAAAACATGTTTTTTTATGTATGTTTTCTATGCTGTAGGCTGCTAGATGTTTATTTGTGTTAAGGTAGAAGTAAAGCTAAGCTTTGCTATTTCATCTAGCTTTACTTAGCAAATGATTGCTAGTTTCCTGTCATTCAGGAGTATGGCCAAGGCTTCATAATGTAATGTTACTGTGTTTGTGTGCGTTTGTATGTGTGTGTGTGCGTGCGTAATGTTCACACAGGCAGATGCCTGACCGTACCGTCATATATATATATATATGTATATATATATATATACATACATACAATCACATATTTTTATATCTCGTATATATATATAACTGCCTGTTAGGGTGAGAGGATAAACAGCCTCAGGTGCTGCTCATTATCAAGTTTCATCCTCCACTCTGAAAATCCCCACCAAGACCAATATTTGATGACTGCAGGCAGAATAAGAGCTCAACAGAAACTTGAGGATTGTAAACTCCAACCTGTTCCGAGTAATTGGATATAAGTGAGCTGACATTCCAGAGTTGTGTAATCTATTGTCACTGATACTCAAGGATATAATTAAGTTTAACAATAAACAAAAGTGAAGAGAGAGCAGGACAGCAGAGGTAAACATTTTATGTCAGGAGTTTCGAAGTTTTCCATTCTGTTGTTTGATCTACGAGGAAAATGAAGGCACAAAAGAAGTATGTCAACCTTTGCGCAACCTCTGCTCCGGTTTGAAAACCCACAGACTCTCCCTTCACTTTTGCCGAGTAGCTGGGAAGCAAGACACAGATACTTCTTGGGTATTGACTTGTATTTTGGCAGTGTTTCTTCATGGACAAATTGTAATCTATAATATACATTTACTGCCACTAGACAACTTCCCTGATAACCTTTCTCTCTGCTCTGATTGCCAACACCTGTCTCTCTCTCTTTTTCTTGTTAACCACACACTCACTATATTAATATTACAGCAAGAGGAAGATACTAATGATCTGCTAAACAAGCCTTTTACAAAAACAGAACTTAGCCGATGTCTCAAGAAAACCAAAATGTCGGCACCAGGCAAGGACCAGATTTGTTATCTTACGTTAAGCAATCTAAGTGAATCTTCTAAGGATATATTACTCGAATTATATAATAAAGTTTGGGAGGGTGGGAAATTGCCTCAAAGCTGGAAGGAGGCCATTGTAGTCCTGATACGCAAGCCCGGTAAAGATTGTACGAACCCAGGAACTATAGACCAATAGCGTTAACATCAAATATCTGCAAAATAATGGAGAAAATGATAAATGAAAGATGAATATATTATATAGAAAGTAAAGGATATATATCCAAATACCACAGTGGTTTCAGGAAAGGGAGAAGTACATTAGATCCAGCTTTAAGTTTAGAACATGAAATTAGGAAAGCACAGATAAACAAGGGAAGTGTTGTGGCTGTCTTCTTTGACATAGAGAAAGCATATGATGTGATGTGGAGAGAAGGGTTACTAATTAGACTCTGCAAGTTGGGTATTAAGGGTCGAATGTATAGATGGATAAAGGATTTTTTATTAAAAAGATGTATAGAAGTCAGAGTAGGAAAGAACTATTCGGGAAAGTTTGGTATTGAAAATGTAACACCGGAAGGTAGTATTGTCAGTCCATTACTATTCTTCATCACGATAAATGATGTGTTGAGTGAAATTGACAGAGCCATTTTGAAGGTAGAAGAAGGTACATTTTCAGAAGATAAGACAAAGACAATGTTCTTTACAAGGAGACAAATTGGTAGTGAAGTAAAACTATATAATCATGAATTGGAGAGAGTAAAACACTTTAAATATTTAGGTTTGTGGTTTGATGAAAGGATCACATGGCTAATATTAATAAAGTAGAGAATAAATGTAAAAAAGTATTAAATATAATGAGGTGTTTGGTGGGAAATGAATGAGGGGCAGAACTGCTTTGAAAGCCGTATACAGTGGATTCATTAGATCTATATTAGATTATGGTTGTGCACATCTGTCAAAAAACTGGATATTATTCAATATCAGGCAAAGAGAATATGCACCGGTGCCTTTAAAACAACCCCAGCGGCTGCATTACAGGGTGAAATGCCACTAGAACTAAGAAGAACACAGCTAGCTTTGAGCTATTGGGCAAATCTACAGGGACACAGTGAAGAACATCCAACACAGGAAACGTTAAAACCTTGCTGGGAAAAGGAGAAGAGGGAGACAAGAAGCTTTGGTGGACAGTAGCACAGAAAGCAACAGAACTTAACATATAGCTAAATTAAACTTCAGTCCAACAGTCCCGTTACCAACAATAGCACCGTGGATACTTCCTGACGGTAGAGCGGATCATTTCAATTGGCATACAATACAGGCACATATCGACAGTTACCACAGTTATATCCAGGTTTTCACAGATGCATCAAAGAATTTAGGAAACAAGATAGGATTGGCATTTATTGTTCCAGAATTTAATATTAAAATAGGTGAAACGATCACTGAGGGACTATCAGTGTACACAGGGGAAATGCTGGCAATAATGTTAGCACTACAGTGAATAGAGGACACAAGACCATTGAGGGCAATCATTTGTTCAGACTCAAGCTCATCATTAGCCAGCTTACAGAACAGCCATTCAGACAGTAGACCAGACATCCTTATAGAAATACAACAAACATTACACAGAATTCAAATGATGGGTCTGACAGTCATATTCCTATGGGTACCAGCACATATGACATAGGTCAAAGGAAATGAAATGGCAGATAAAGCTGCAAAAGAGGCCACAAAAAATAGCTGTACTAATGTTGCAGTCAGCTTCAGTAAATCAGAAACAAAAAGTATCATTAAACAGAGGTTGAAGGAAAGGTGGCAGAAGCAATGGGAAGAAGACAGGAAAGGACGATGGTGTTACTGAGTTCAGAGGAAAGTGGGAGACATGAGATGTGCAGGAAAGAACAGGAGAGAGGAAACGGTAATATCAAGGCTTAGATTTGGACATACAGGCCTAAATGGTATGCTTCAGAAAATAGGTAAACACGAAACAGGAAAATGCGACTACTAACATGTTATTGTGCAATGTCAGAAATATGAGCAGGAAAGAGGGCAGCTGATTAGAGACCTCGGCAAGATGAAGGTACGGTTGGATATAGTGGATATTCTGCAAAATAACTCAAAAAGTGAGTGTTATCAAGTATTATTTCAATATCTTAGATTCATTAATATTATTAAGAAAATATGAGCCCGTTGTTTTGTTTTTGTTTTGTTTCTATTTTCTTTTTCATTTAATTGTCATATAAGTACTAGGTATCCTGATCCACACTCCATACCAGTTGGTGGCGGTAATGCACCAATTCATTGTTTGCCAACCGCCAATAAACCTCAAAAAAGAGGAAGAAGAAGCTGCCGACAGGTGACGGAAGTGGCGTAAGGTGTTGTTGACGCGAGGCGTTAGATGGGAAAGTTAGAGATTGTAGCTTTGTTCTTCTACATCAGTGGTAGTAGCTAGTGGCTACCAAGCACCCGTACGCATTTTCAGGTCCACTAACGTTAGATCTTCAGTGGGTAAGAATCAGTTGTTGTCATTGCAGCTAACGTTAAATACAGTTAACATTACTTCCGAGATATCTGACACATTCCAGCATTAACTAAATAGTTAGCCGCAAAACTAGTTTAGTTATTGACCAGAAATGATCATACATTTTGTTCAGTTGCACGGAGAGATGCAACTAAAACTCAGTCATGCAAAGTACATGGATTAACACAGCTGGTTCATCAACAGCTTCGATATCCAGGTCATACTTAGCTTGTAACGTTACAGCTAACATGAGCTAGTTTTTGGAAAGGAGTTTGGCATGACCTCCTAGCTAACGTCACCTGTGCTGCTTAACAGAACGTACAACGGAGATCTCCCAAATACGATAGGACCAACGTTGAGCTGTCATTACGTACATTATCTCTTCAAATGTCTTTGAGGATGCCATAAAAGTGACTTTGTTGTCCAATTTCCAAGTTGTACTGCGCATCAAAAATCCAGACATGCTCGTTAAATAGTCATAATAAAGTAGCATTAGTGAAATTAACATCAGACTTTCACAATCCTCGGTCAGTTTGAATCGGTAGCTATTTATCAGATAGAGATGTGTGGCTCAATCAAACACCTGCTTCTTAGTGAAGGAGTGTGGCAGGGATGTTGGGTCCAGTCCTGCTGACCACTGTAGTAGTGGTCCGGTGGTGTAGTATTTGCTCCGTCTTGAATAATTAGGATGGGATTGTGTTTGTATTTAATTACTTGGCTTGCTGTCATTAATTTGCACTATATAACTTTGTAAAACATTGACAATATTATATTGATACAATATGTTTTCACATACTCTCCACTGCATTTTATATAACATATGTTGATCTTTCCTGCCAGACAAACATGTATGTATTTAAGAACAGTCCGTTGTTAGAAAATTGCCATTTTTGCTGCTCTGGATCTCTGATTTGTTTTTCTCTGGACTCGCTCTGGTGATTGGCTGATTCTTCACAAACCCTGTATCAGACCTGATCCAGGAAAGACAGCTTGTCATGGTCTTATAATGCGTAGGGCTGGTTGTATGACAGAGATATGACTATGGGATTGGTACACATTATAGTTAGTATTGCATTTTGTATTTTGTCTACCTACCCATTGACTGCGGATGGAAGATAGCTACTTGGTATGGTGAGTGTGTGTTCTTCACCCTGACACAGACACAATGGCGAGTCCAGGAAAAGACAACTACAGGATAAAAAGCTATAAGAACAAAGCGTTGAATCCTCAGGAGATGCGTCGAAGGAGAGAGGAGGAAGGAATCCAGCTACGCAAACAGAAAAGAGAAGAGCAGGTAAACTCTGTCTCATCTTGATATGATGGAAAGTGGCAGCACACACAGCTCCAAATCTTGAATCGTGTATTGGGTGCACTTTAGTGTTAGAGATCAAAGAAACAAAACACCGGCACAGATAAAGGGTCCTCTTCCTCACTGTGGGCAAAACCGAATGTGCATCAGCTAGAAGCCATCATCATCTGATTAGTTTCTTTTTTCTCTGTCTCATCTTGAATTACTTGATTAAAACCCCTTCTACATTAAATTTGAAGTTTGAAACAGTGCATTAAAGAAAGGCTTCCCACATTTGTTAAAGCAACCTTAAATGCCCAAATGTAATATTTTTGAAAATCAAAACTTTCACAGCTATGACTCAAAACATCAACAGTGGTGTATTTCAGATTTGGGGCATTTGGTTCCCCACAATGCTAGTGAGTTTATATTCAGTATGTGTGTGCTTGAAAAGTATTACAATAACATGTCAGACAGATTACTGCTGTCTTTAGTTTTCTGCTTGGGAAGTGACATCAGTGGATTGGCCTTGTATAAATCAAACTACTTGTATTCATTCAAGTGTCTAAAAGTCTGTGAAAAATCTTAAAATGCTTTACATCGTGTTTTCATAATTCAGGGCCTTAAATGGTCTCAATTAAGATTAAACTTTTCTGCATTTGTTTATGTGCTGTTGTGTTCACTGGTCTGTTCATCAAGCCAAGGTGCTAAATAAAAACAGCTGTTTAATCATGTGACCTTGCCTCTTTGCCCACAGCTGTTCAAAAGGAGAAATGTATGTGCACCTTTAAATAATGAGTCAATGCTGGAATATCCAATCCAGGATCCAGACATCAGCTCCACGGTACCTGTTGCAGGTGTAAGTGTTTACTACTGTTGTGTTGTGACCTGCTATTCATAGCTTAAGTCCCAATATCAAACTTATCAATCTTGGCTCTTTTTCTGTACTTGGCTACAATCTGAACATGATTATGATCTTGAATATTTATCATGTTTTGATATTTATGCAGGATGAGGTCATAACTCCAGATATGATTCGGATGATTTTCTCCGGAGACCCAGACCAGCAGCTAATTGCTACACAAAAATTTAGGAAATTACTCTCCAAAGGTTTGTGTTGCATCTCCTGAATTTAGATTTATTTACATCATTTATTTGATCTGAAGTTTAAGTAATCATCTCACAGCTTTAATTCAGCATCTGTTGTACCACTCTGTCACTGATTAATATAATAGCGATTAAACTGAGCCAACTTTTGAGATTCTCACTTCATCACAACTGAACAGACTGTTTGACAAAGAAACTCTGCAAAAACACCACGACATTAAACACTAAATATGAAACTTTTAAATGAAAGTAATGAAAAACAGATGCAATGCAAGAGATCTTGATATTTTTGAGGACTACATAAAGATTGGGTGACTAACTAAAGCCCCTTCAGGCAAATTTGTGATATTGGGCTATATAAATCTAATTGTGTCAATATTATATTGCAATTTGATGTTAAATCCACTTAAATGTACACTTTCTACCGGACAAAAGGGTACACTGATTTCTAATCTCTTTTTGTACATTAGTTGATGAGAAATACTGCCTTCTTTCAATCCTGCCATCAATGAGATCTGTTCTGTTTTTCTGTCCAGAGCCCAATCCACCCATAGATGAGGTAATTTCCACTCCTGGTGTTGTGATTCGTTTTGTGGAGCTCCTTAAGAGGAGTGAAAACTGCACACTGCAGGTAAGAGCTTCACAACACAGCACAAGGCCTGTTGTTTGATGAGCTGCAATCAGTTTTATATGTAGGTCTGGATTCTCCCTCCCTTCTCCTTGTGGAGGTTCAGTAACATTTCCGCACATAAGGGGGTTGGGGGAGCCAGAAAGTTTCCGAACAGCAGGCAGCCTTACTGAGAAAAAAAAAAAAAAGCTGTGTGCTCATGAGTGCCAAGTTCTGCAAGCAATACCTCTGAAGGCAGCTTTATTTATACTGTGCATTTCAATTCATTTATGACGTGCTTTTTAACCGCAGAATTGTTACACGTACCCGTGTTCTTATAATAGTGAATTCCATTGTCCTCATAAATTGAAGGTGCGTGCCAGTTGGTCCTAACCTGCATAGGTAAACGCTCTATCAATCCCCATAAAAGGGCATGAGACTGCAGGGCCATGCAGGATTTGAAAAGAGAGAAGTTAAGGCCATGTCCACATTGCTCTGTTTCCATTTGAAAACGCATATGTTTTGCTACGTTTACACTGAGTGTCCACACTACACCGGAGTTTTAGAGCACCGTAAACAGATAAGTTTGAAAACGCTCCCGAGGTCGGATAAGTTTGAAAAGTCCGCGGTTGCGTTTTCGTGTGGATGGCTACGATTAGAAACGATGACGCCCACACCCGCGTTCTCTACTTGATTGGTTCTTAGCAGTCATGACGTGTCCTTCCCTGATTCGTCACGTCTATCGCGTGACCGTTACCCGGAAGCTCACAAACGACAACATTGAATACCGATCGACTACCAGGTTAATTTAACATGGACAACTGATTAGAGTTGACCTTGTTGTCTTTACTAGCAGCTGTTGTTCAGTTAAAGTCTGCATTATTACGGAGGAAGCAGCTCTTTTGAGCGATCAGTGAGCGGCGTGTCCAGCGGCGTTATCAGACCTATGGAGCGGCCGTCTGAAGTCACAGTTAGCGGCTTTAGGGGGGGTGATGGACACAAAACTGAGGACTTTCCTGTCCTTATTAATGCTTATTTTGTTCTGCACAACTATTGTGAAGTCCACACACATAAACTATAAAGGAACAAAACATGAATTGCTCTCCAGTTTGGCGTTGTCGGCCCTACGAAGCGGCCGTCTGAAGTCACTGTTAGCAGTAAATGCTATTCAGTAGGACAGATAGTTAAGCCACCAGCAGAGCTACGAATGAGAACAGACAACAACAACACCGAGGAAACAAGTGAGAGACGTGTGATGACCACATTTATGGACCCATAATCTAGCAAACTGTTACGTGTAAGTGTTGATTTTAAAGTAAATTTGATATGTGAGAGAGAGATAGAACAAGACCTGCAGCTCTGTAACTAAGTCTGAAAAATAAAACTTCTAAAACTTTCCACGAACTGTGTCTTTTGAGTTCATAGAGGAAGATTTTAGAGAAGATCTTAAGTATCAAACACGACCTTTCATTATTAAAGACTACTTTATTACTCTGTCATATATTTTTTTTTTTTACTAAGCAACCAATCTACTTCCTGTTTACATCGACACCCACGCGCATGCCCAGTGTATGTGAAGAGTCACGTGATATTCGTTTTCAGGCGTGTTAGTATAGACGGAGATCAATTCGAAAACGGTGCTGAAATGCCGTGTGGACGGAGATTGTTTTTGTTTGAAAACTCCATTTACGTTTAGAAACGGAGTAGTGTGGATGTACTCTATGAATGCCCAAACGAAAGTCTAAAGATGGTGGAACACCAGACCAAAGTTTAGAACATTTGGAAATCAGCAAATCAGTGTCATGGCAAAACATGAACTTTCCTGCCATGCCAAAGCAACGCCGTTTAATGAAAACCCATAAGCTCTGCAATTTAGCATATCGAACATCTTGAGATTTTGCTCCAGGAGAAGTTTCGAAAAGTTCTATACCTAAAAAAATCCCAACATCGTCAGAGGTATGGACTAATCCTTCGCATTTAAGTGTCCCATTAGGAGGAGGTTATACCAACCAGAAATTCAAAATGGCCGACTTCTTGTTGGGCGGAGCTAATTAATGCCGATGGCAAATGTGTTTGAAATCATGAGGCTGATGTGTGTACAACATTTCAAGAATATCTGGGTGACTATGTCTCAACCAAGGCCTTCCAGACATTAAGAGGTGCTATGACGCAAGCTAAACACGCATGAACCCAAGCCCTAAATCTTCTCCCCAATGTTCACAGGTTTTGATGTGTGCACCAAGTTTCGTTTTCGAGTAGATCAACGGCCTCGAAAAGGAGTTTAAATTTTCCGTGCATACCAAGCCCCTCAAATATGCCATTGCTCGACGCTGGATGACACAGCTGGGCTTTTTTTTACCGGCAGACAGTGAGGGTGCTAGTTAGATGCATGGCGCTGGAAATTACATATTATTAATAATAATAATAATACATTTTATTTATGTAGCGCTTTTCATAAAACTCAAAGACACTTGAGAAAATATTGCAGATTTTACACCACTTTCTGTGTTCACTATGTGGCGCTATAGATCACACACACTATTTTGATATCATGTTGCTTTATATCATCTGTAGATCACACCATGTCAATTTCTTGTAAATCGTATGATCTTTGTCACATGAGGCGGATTTCCTGTCCAGTAGGTGACGCTATGACTACAACTCAATATGGGTGTGTAGATGTCTTCAGGCCTAGACTCCAGCATGTGCAATTTTGGGCAGATTGGAATAAGTAAATTCAAGTTACTACAGCATCCTCGCTCGTCACAGCATCCCAACAATCTTGAGATTTCGCTGAACAAATTTGAGATGCATCGGGGACGAGGAAAAATATCGCAGAGCAGGAACATTATTACGTGAGTTGGAGAAGTCATTTCACAAGACGATCTCCGAAAAGAGAAAAATATTCAGAGAGTCCAGAGCCTTTAACCAAGAATGGACAGACTCGTTTAAGTGAATTCTTCCCACGGGAAGCACCTCTTATACTTCTTTAACAGCACGGCCTGCATGGGATGAAACAGGATGTTCCAGTACACAGGCCCCCACCTTTGATCACTCTCTTTATAACTCTGTACGAATTGTAATGTGTAGTGCACACTTCTACGGAGTCTGAGTGACTCCGTGTAACTGTGCCTCTTCTTTGGCCGGAGAATAAATACTTTTAAAAGAAAAGTTCTGTTTGGCAATATTCTTAATTTCAGCTTGAAAAAGACTCAACAGCGGGTAAAATAATTGTTCCACCACAGTGAGTAACCTATTGTTTTTGTAAAGATTATTATTAGGGCCCGAGCACGAAAGTGCCAGCACCGAATGGTCCCTGCTGCTTCTCAAATGGCCCTACCAAAAATAACTTGCACCAGTGAAAGAATATTTTTTATCTCTCATTGTCACTTCAGCAGTAAAAAATGTACAATGTTCCATATTGCTTGATCCATTGCTTTCTTTCCAATAGTTTGAGGCAGCCTGGGCGCTAACCAACATCGTCTCAGGTACCTTCTTGCACACCAAGGCGGTGATTGAAACGGGAGCTGTTCCCACTTTCATTGAGTTAATGAACTCTGACTACGAGGACGTCCAGGAACAGGTGAGAGCCTACAACACAACAAATTAGACACGGCTGTAAATGTCATTGTTAGGGATTTAATGGTTTGTGTATTCATACCGAACTATCACAGTTCGAGGGTCACGGTTCAGTGCAGGCAGTTGTTGGCAACAAAAAGGAGCGTGTTTGAGTTATCAGCATTTAAGAAAACTAAAATATCTACATCAATAGCATTTTTAGTCAGTAAAATTATTATAATAAAATTATAATAACGGGGCACCACCCTGCAAACAGGGACCAATAACCAAACGATAAACTAAGTCTCATAATTAGTGTTCATTCACAATGTCAGTAGTCAAAGTACTATTCTACATTCAGAGTGAAAGAGGTTTAAGTTCGAGCAACAGACCACATATCAGCTATTATCACAATACACATGCACAAAGTAATCACAGACAGCTGCTCTTAAAATACATACCTGCAAACTTGTCGCTTTTCCGCGAAATTCGACGTTTTGAATCAAAACATGTCATCCACGTGAATCGTGTAGATCCATAGAGTTTTTATTTTTTGTTGGGGGTGGGGGTCAACTGGTCAGCCAGATTGGAGTGAGACGAGGAGAAAAGGTGACGTTGTGATCTTCGCAATAGAACATCTTTCACGTATAGAGTCTTGGCCAATCAGCGTTAAGATGTCTACACCATCTTCATTTCCCTCCGTTACAGTTTAAGTTACGTTATGTTCCGTTACCGTTCAGACTTGCTGGGTTAAGTTAACGTCCACTGCATGCAGAACTTTGTCGACTGTTAACGTTCGTCATCATCGCGATTGAGTGAAAACCTTCCCCCTGGCCTAGAAGCAACATGGGCTCAATGGAAAACACTAAACCGCCTCAGAACAAGAATGGGACGATCAAAGGCTGCTCTGGTCAGATGGGGCTACAAGGCTGGCCCAACCACATGTGAATGTGGAGAAGCAGACCATACTATGGAGCATTGCCTTGTCTGCCCTCTACTACCCAACCCTTGCAACTCAAAAGACCTTGCAGTGTTCAATAAAAATGCAAAGGACTGTGTAAAGAAATGGGAAACTGTCATATAACCATCACGCTTCAGTGAAACGAAAAGAAGAAGATCGCGTTTTAGGAGGAAAAAACGTAACGTGAAGAAACATGCCCCCCGTGTTCCGGTTCAGTTCACGCGGTCACTCGTTAATGTTTAACCGGAAAAACAGCGGATCTGGTTGCAGTTTTTTTTTTTTTTTAACTCAAAGTAGAATGAGGCGATTTCATGGTGATAACTTTTATGACCACAATGATGAGGCCCAGATACTGATGAGATGATGTGGTCAAAGAGCTTCAGGGAGAGGAGGCTGTTTGTGTAGAGCAGCTTGACGCAGAGCTGAGATGTGAGTGGAGCTGGGCCTGGATAAAGGTGGAGGTCTAAACAGACGTGAGTACAGCTTCCTGCTGTGACAGTATTTTTAAATACATTGATAAGGCAGGGCATGCTAAATGCAGCCTCTGCTCCAAGGAGATAAACTACAGCAACAAGGGCTCACATGCCCTCTCATCACACTGCCAGACACTGTTCACTGTATGACCACAGCCAGTGTACTTCCAGTCCCAACAGTCCCACGTGCAGTTGCTCCCAAGGGCCCTGAAGTAATGAGTGTTAAGGTGCCTGTACCTTCATTTCAGCGGGTTGCTAATGCAGAGGTGTGTATAGATCACAGCTAATATTTTACTCTTGATAAACTACTTTAGCAAGAGTTGATTATCATTTTAATTTAAATAATTGAACTGGATTGAATGCATATTAATTGCAAATAGAAGATAGGCCATAATTCTAACAGATTTACAGTAACAGTGGAAGTTAATATGAAGCCATACAGTAACAGGGTTCAATAAAAACGAATCTCTTTTATTTTGTACAGGCGATGGTTCTCGCTACTCTTGCTATCTGTGTTTTTATGACAAACTTTTGAAAAGGAGACTGTCTCAATGGATTTTGTCTAAATAAAGGTTAATAGAGCTGAAATACTGATTAATAACAGAATAATAAATGTCTTACTTAATTTTCTTCTCAGAGTACACCAGAATGCTACATTTTAAAGCTCTTTTAAAATAAAATTCTCCAAAGGTCTTTAGATTATACTGACCAAATTTGAAAAGGATCTGACAAAGTCTCTAGGAGGAGTTCGTTAAAGTATAGCGACTAGAAATCAAGAGAAAATTCACTCAAAAATGAAAATGGCTGACTTCCTGTTAATGTTAGAGTGTTGTCCCAAAACAGTTTTTTTTTAAGTCTTCATGTGGTGCATGTTCCTACCAAATGTCATACATGTAGGTCAAACGTAGCGCTGGGGCTGCATTTTGTGGAGTCAGCTTGTTGTTTAACGGCGAATCACTTAAAATGGCTGCCACGGCTACGCCATTCCATCAAATGTAAAGCTTTGAGTAACATTTAATAGCAACGGTCTTTAGATTATACTGACCAAATTTGAAGTAGATCTGACAAAGTCCCTAGGAGGAGTTCGTTAAAGTATAGTGACTAGAAATCATGGGAAAATTCACACGAAAATCTAAATGGACAACTTCCCGTTAATATTAGAGCATGGTCCCAAGACACTTTTTTTTAAGTCTTCATGTGATACATGTGCCTACCAAACTGCATACATGTAGATCAAACGTAGCACTGGGGCTGCATTTTTGAAAATTTGTAGGGGGCACTATCGAGGCAATTTGAAAGGGTCAAGCCAAAAAGCCATATGAAATATTTATTTCCATCACTTTACACCTGTGCAAAGTTCCAAGGCTTGTTGAACATCCTAAACCACAGAAAAATAAGCTTCATTTTTTATGGCGGATGACGCATTGTCACGGCAACAGCGTTTAACGACAACTCACAATATTCATGATGAAGCATTATCAATGTATTACGGCTTACTTTACCAAATTTGAGACTGATCTGGGCAACTTCCTAGTCGGAGTACATCAAAGTATAAAACTTGTCATTTCCTTTTGCCAGTAGGTGGCGCTATGACTTTGTGAAAATGTTGGCATGGAAATGTGCTCAAGCCTGGACCAGCATCATGCATGACAAGTTTGGGGCAGATTGAATAAAGTACCTTGGAGTTACAACAACTTCCTCTTTCATGGCAAACGGCACGAAATGTGCGTGACATGTGCGCCACATAAAACGAAGGTCGTTCAATGTCAGTAGACCATTTTAGCAACTTTTCATCATTAAAGTCTCAAGATCATCTTGACCACATTTGAAGTCGATCACTTAAATTCTGTGGGAGGAGTTCGTTAAAGTAAAGCGCCTGAAAACGATGAAATGTATGTTACAGGACACATTGTGAACATATACTACAGATTTTGTGATGATTGGCCATATGGTTTTGAAGTTATATGTATTGCTGTAGAAGGCCACGCCCCTATGAAGTTCATTGGTCCATATATTCTTAAATGCAATGAGATATCAATAAGCTTTTCGTAACTTTTGATTATATAGATCCAATAATGATCCACAGCAAATTCTTTCTTTGACATGTCAGAGCCTTGTAGCTGGCCGAGCCATACGTGATTGGTCAGTGGGCTAGCGTGACATGTTGGGCGGTGACAATCCCAATATCTGCTGCCTCTGTCGAGCGGACATTTTCAGCCCTCAAACGCATTAAAACGTATTCAAGAAATACAACTGGGGAGGCTCAACTGTCTTCACTGGCGTCCATGAATCGAGAAGGAATTCTTACTGGAACTAAAACGCACGGATGTACTGAACAACCGTGGGATTAACTCTTTGTAATCAAAGAAAGAAGGATGGACTTTGTCTTTAAATAGTGAACAGCAGCTTTGGTAAGTGAACTGCTTTTGTTTTTACATCTGCAGTAGCTTTAATATGCTTGTTTATATATTATTATTTGCACAGCTTGTTTTTATGAAGATGGATTTTTGTTGTTTTATATGTGATAGGAACCATTGTTACGTCCAATGTTGTGGTGGGGACACATTTAGTCGGTGCCAGTGCTGCCAACTTGGCGACTTTCTCGCTAAATCTGGTGACTTTCCAAACCCTCATGGCGACTTTATTTGTCAAAAGCTACTAGCGACAAATCTAGCGACTTTTTCTGGTGTTGTTGGAGACTTTTATGGTGTTTTGACGCGCAGCAGTCCCAGCTGCAATCAGAGCAGAGAGGAGACACACTCTCGGCGTATTCATGTATCTGCACTCTGCAGTTAGTGTATTTGGGTCAATGACATGACATGCATATTTTTGTGTCCGAGTCCACTATTTCCTTTGAAAATAATTGTATCAATTCGTGACATATATAATTTCATTCTAGAAAACCTAGTTTTATCTAGTTTTGATACATTTTCAGTACAATCAAATAATATATATTATTTTATGTTTTGGCATCTCAAACCCTGAAAATGTCAGGCGGTGCACCTGTCCTAGCAGATGAACAGACTAAGAAAACTATTAAAAAAGGTATTTAAATGATAATAAAATAAAATACTATGGCATGCTTTTATTGTTGAAACGATTCAAATAAACCAAATTTTTACAAATACCAATAGTTTTAAGCTGTTGCGATAATTTAAAAACTTTTGTCCAGCAATTTGAATGTTCTCAAATGTCAGGGTGGCACAGCTGTAAAGATGGGACTTTTATTATAAAATTAAAGTGGAAAACAGTAAACAGGTTATTGCATCATCAAGAGGACCTCAACTGACCTTTATAGCAGAGTGAAAATGTTTTTATATCTCTTTTGAATATTGATAAAAACAGCTACTTTCAACTTATAGGTAGAGTGGTTCACTTTCCATGTCAGGGCGGTACAACCAATGTAAAACTAGAAAAATGTTATTTTATCATAAATGTCTTTATTCTATTTAAAATGTATATGTATCAAGTTGTTAGCAAGAACAAAAGCTAATGCTAGTGTCCTAGTAGATGCCTGTTTAATTTGAAATCAGTTGCAAATGTCAGGTGGCACAACCAGTAAGGCAGGTGGTGCAACTGCAAAGAATGTTACTCTATATTATATTTAAAGCTCTAACATTATTTACAGTGTTAAGTTAAAGATATTATACACTTTCAAACTATTTTTTATGATATTAATGAATATTTTTTAACTATTAAGGATGCCACTGTCAAGTAAAGCAAAATCAGCACGACGCAGGGAGCAGACAACAAGTCATGTATCGAGTGTGTGCAAAACACTGCTACAATGAGGTAGAAGCTGCAACACCCCAGGCGGAAGCGACTGTGGTTTTGCCTATTCCAGTTATGTGCTAAACATGATTACTATGAAATATTTACTTCTTTTACTTAAAAAGAGTCTGTTAACTAAAAGCATGTTGTATTTGAAAAAAAAATGCAAATTGTCTGCATATTTCCTGTGATTTTCAGGTGGCACAACTGATAAATGTCATGGTGGTGCGACCAGGTAAAATATTAATTTAAAGCAATAAATAATAGGTTAAAGTGAATTATTTTTTGCTTAATATGATGTGAAGAACTATTGTATTGAATGTATTCATTTGTATATTTGTATTATTATGTTTCTCTGTTTAAATGTAAAATCAAAAGTTAAATATACTAAATATCTGGCCAAGAGAACGCAATTATGATAAATTATTGTGTATATATATATATAAAACACAACCACAAAATACGATGTGTTAGACACAGTAGACACTCTAAGGCAGTGGTTCTCAAACTTTTTCTGTCGCGCCCCACTTTGGAGGAAGAAAAATTTTCATGCCCCAACAAAATTGTAACAAAATAGTCTATGTTGAATTTTTATTGAAATAACATTTTGTGACTCCTCCGTCTGTGCTTTTTCAAATAATAGAATAAAGAAACTTGCAATCACTTTTAAGTAAACCAGATTGTTCCATCAGACAAAAACTAATAAAATGTGCAATCACTTTGTTAGAACAATGCAAATAAAGTTATATCTGTGCAAAAAATAACTACAATTTGGCAAAAAATAGCTTATTGCAATTGGCTGCAATTAACCTGTTTTGCACTAAACATCTTTTCAAGATAACAATAAAGTGCAACCTGTGAAAAACTAAACAAAACAAGTTCAAATATTTGGCTATAAAGAGTTTTACACTGCATTTTGCTTGCGGTATTCATCAAGTTTCCTCTGAAAGAACTCCAGTGGCTTATTGACGTGAATGGGGTGTAATGTCTCTAAGTGTCTTTTTAATTTGTTGGGTTTCATACTATCCGCAGCTAGAGTTTTCAGACATAAAACACAGACTGGTCTCTCCTCATCTCCTACCGCGTTCACTGTGAAACCCAGAGCAAGATAGGCGTCCTCATATTTTCTTCTTGGCTGCTTGCTGTTCGTCTCGGATGCATCGCTTGCGGTTGCTTTTCTGTTCCCGCCTGCCAAATAACTCTTCATTTTGAACACTAAGCCACACATGTGAGTCGCCAAGGATCATGGCCGTCACGCATGCGCAAGCGTAACCTGTTAACGGCCTAACGTAAACATTTACACGAAAGTACAGGCATTTCGCCATGTATTTATTAATTTAAAAAATAAAAAAAATAAAAAAATTCTGTTCCCCTTGCGCCCCACCTGTAATACCACCGCGCCCCACTAGAGGGGCGCGCCCCACAGTTTGAGAACCACTGCTCTAAGGGATACTTGTCAAAAATTTCAGTTTGAATAAATATTCGGAAAATATATATTTTTTTAGAAATATGTGGTTGCGCCACCTGACATTTTTTAGCCTGTGAAGTTAAAAAATACTGTTAAAAACTATTTAAAATACTATGAAAAGTTGGTTCACAACTTAGACTTGTTTCACCACATTTTTCCAGACACAAAAATATGCATTACATCCATTTTGAAGATAATTTTTAAAATTACCTTTTTAGAAGCCTTATTTGTCAATGACCCATTTATAGGTGTTGAGCTTCATTTTTACACGAAACAAATAATAACTGTAGCTGTGGCATCATAATGAGGACAGCAGTGAAGGCCCAGGTATAAAATGCACGGCCCACCACTGCATTGTAGCAATATTGAAATACACAGCATTAATGATCTCGGTCGTTAATCTCGGCGATTATTGAGCATACCCCACGTTATAAAAATGACAGTAACTTAAGCAACAAGATAATAAACACAATAATCTAACTAGCCCAGACACCGTAAGTAGCTTACTAGGAGGTGATTTCGTGTTTTGAGATTGTGGTCCTTCTGAGTTTGTCAGTGGAATTCAGGCAGCGTGGCTCTGAGCGGCGCATTCGATTCTCGCGGTAGCAGAGATTTTCTTCGGCTCAGTAAGGGAATTCCCGTCCTTACAGCTAGCACAAAGTCAACTTAGTTGGAGAGGAGAAATGTGTTTCCCTCTCTGAAGAGTCGGTCTCTTCACTTCTGCATGAAAATGGTTCGCTTCCTCGTCCAGGATGCAAACAAAACAAACAAACAGTCCAGTAGATATGTCCAGCGAATCTAAAACTGTTAAACCTAGGATTTTCTTTTAAATAGCAAATGTTGCGTGCGTGCTTTCGTGCACCGATGCAAGGTCGGGGAAATAGCAGTGCATTCAGGGGGGCTCAGGGTTTTTATAGTTTTGGGGGTATCCGGTTGTAAAACCGGAAGTCCTGCCTTGGCATCTCTGGGCTCGTCCAATGAGAGCAGTGTTGCATTTGGATGACGAGTTCACACCTTAATGTGAGCTTCTTCCAAGTGGGGGATTTGGTGCTTATCAAACCAAATCAGGATGAACCCTTGCCTGCAGAATCGGCAGGCCCAGATCTCTTTGTTTCAAAGCACATGGTGAGGACAAGGAAGCACCTGGGCCCAACACAGTCATATGCAGAATACACTGTGTGTAGATTGATTCACATTGGTTCACAAGCGTGATTTCCTGCCTGTACGCCATTGGCAACATAAACTGAGGTTAGCAAAACAAGTGGATTGGTGTGCATGTCAGTCATTCTATGGGGAGCACATAAGAGATGCTTTTGTGACCTCTTGCCTTTTGGTAAACTGTTTAGTGTTATACAGTGTATCTTAGAGATGTTTCTACACCTTGATTGAATTTCACCTTTGGTAAATTCAGTTGATTGGACATAATCTGGAAAGGCTTGCCAGTCTGTAAAATGGGGGTACAGGGAAAGCAAAAACAGAAATCATATACATATTGATGTATCACAATATGTAATGACACATAACTTGATAGAGGACTTTATCCATATTACCTAGCACCCCTAATTAGGCTGTCTATTTGTCAAATACCTGAAGTGAAAACATAGTGACTGTTGCAAACATGTTAAGGTGAGAAACAGGGTCACGCAGTTGCCGGAAATGTGAGTAATTGTTTATCTACAATGTCTAGTTTTTTTTTTAGTTTTTTTTAAGTTTTCTTCATTTCAGGTTTAGGAGTTTTGAGAGGTAGCAAGTCCCATCATAATCAAAGCCCTCATAGTTCACTGATTGGTCCAGCACTGAAGCATGTTGATTGTGTGATGTGTTTCAGGCGGTGTGGGCGTTGGGGAACATTGCAGGAGATAATGCTGAGTGCAGAGACTATGTACTTAACTGTGGCATCCTGCCGTTTCTACAACAGTAAGTGTTCTTCCTTTGTCTGTCTTAATATGTAAAACATTATGCAATAGCAACTGGATCCTGTGTTGTCATGTCCAGGCTACTCGCTAAATCCAACCGTCTCACAACAAACCGCAATGCAGTATGGGCTCTGTCCAACTTGTGCCGAGGGAAAAACCCACCACCTGATTTTGCCAAGGTAAGTCTAAGCGTCATAACTAAATTGAAATACTAGAGCCCATTTGCCTTATTTCTGCTTGCAGCATTAATTGTTGTTGGTCCAGCACTGGTATTAATCCGGCCTCTACTGTTTGATGTCTGTTTCTCCGCTGTGTGTCAGGTCTCTCTTTGCCTCAGTGTGCTGTCCAGGCTTCTGTTCAGCAGTGATCCAGATGTGCTGGCTGACTCTTGTTGGGCTCTGTCCTACCTGTCTGATGGCCCCAATGAAAAGATCCAAGCTGTCATTGACTCTGGAGTCTGCCGCAGATTGGTGGAGCTACTCATGTAAGTCAGATCCACAACATAGGAGAGTAGTCATTTTTTTATTCACTATAGGAAGAACGGGCTGAGCTGTATTGTCAAAATATAAGGGTGATATATACAGTGGGTACTCGCATGCTGTCCATTTCTTCTGATCATCCTTGAGATGGTTCTACTCCTTCATTGGAGTCCAGCTGTGTTTCATTAAACTGATTGGACTTGATTAGGAAAGGCACACACCTGTCTATATAACACCTTACAGCTCACAGCGCATGTCAGAGCAAATGAGAATCATGAGGTCGAAGGAACTGCCCAAGGAGCTCAGACACAGAATTGTGGCAAGGCACAGATCTGGCCAAGGTTGCAAAAGAATTTCTACAGCACTCAAGGTTCCTAAGAGCACATTGGCCTCCATAATCCTTAAATGGAAGAAGTTTGGGACGACCAGAACTCTTCCTAGACCTGGCCGTCCAGCCAAACTGAGCAATCGTGAAAGAAGAGCCTTGGTGAGAGAGGTAAAGAAGAACCCAAATATCACTGTGGCTGAGCTCCAGAGATGCAGTAGGGAGATGGGAGAAAGTTCCACAAAGTCAACTATCACTGCAGCCCTCCACCAGTCGGGGCTTTATGGCAGAGTGGCCCGACGGAAGCCTCTCCTCAGTGCAAGACATATGAAAGGCCGCATAGAGTTTGCCAAAAAACACATGGACTCCCAGACTATGAGAAATAAGATTCTCTGGTCTGATGAGACCAAGATTGAATTTTTGGCGTTAATTCTAAGCGGTATGTGTGGAGAAAACCAGGCACTGCTCATCACCTGCCCAATACAATCCCTACAGTGACACATGGTGGTGGCAGCATCATGCTATGGGTGTGTTTTTCAGCTGCAGGGACAGGACGACAGGTTGCAATTGAAGGAAAGATGAATGCGGCCAAGTACAGAGATATCCTGGAAGAAAACCTCTTCCAGAGTGCTCTGGACCTCAGACTGGGCCGAAGGTTCACCTTCCAACAAGACAATGACCCTAAGCACACAGCTAAAATAACAAAGGAGTGGCTTCGGAACAACTCTGTGACCATTCTTGACTGGCCCAGCCAGAGCCCTGACCTAAACCCAATTGAGCATCTCTGGAGAGACCTGAAAATGGCTGTGCACCAACGTTCACCATCCAACCTGACGGAACTGGAGGATCTGCAAGGAAGAATGGCAGAGGATCCCCAAATCCAGGTGTGAAAAACTTGTTGCATCATTCCCAAGAAGACTCATGGCTGTACTAGCTCAAAAGGGTGCTTCTACTCAATACTGAGCAAAGGGTCTGAATACTTATGACCATGTGATATTTCAGTTTTTCTTTTTTAATAAATTTGCAAAGATTTCTACATTTCTGTTTTTTTCTGTCAAGATGGGGTGCTGAGTGTACATTAATGAGAAATAAAATGAACTTTTTTGATTTTAGCAAATGGCTGCAATGAAACAAAGAGTGAAAAATTGAAAGGGGTCTGAATACTTTCCGTACCCACTGTATATACAGCTGACAGTATTAGGGTTATTATTCTCAAATCATTCATCCCACACCTTCACCTTCCCTCAGACCTCTTATGTATTTCCACACTGGTACCCATGCATAATCAAACACTCTTCATTCCCACATTCTTGAATTTAAGCTTCTGCAAACTATATAGAGTTATGGTGGCTTATTCTACAGTCGGTAGTAAATAGAATATAAATAAAACATTTTAATGTCATTATGTATACTGAAGGCTTTAATTATTCTAGGGTTTGCTTGGCCACACAAAATTATACAATATGAAGAAATCAATATGCGTGAAAAGAGAAAAAATATCTTTAAAATATATATATATATTAGTGAGACATGCCAACTACTTCCTTTTCAAAAGCAAATATTTAAAGGTGGTTGTATAAGCACTATAAACTGACCACAGGTCTGTTGCTGTAGAAAAGTGGGCGTCTGTACGTCGGAGTTGTTGGTATAATGTCGGGATTGCAGTTTGGCTAAAGTATTCTCTTCCCATCAAGACATAAGGTGACCTCTAGTCCCGTGGTTTAATCATGGATGTGACTTCCTTCTCGACTGTCTGTAGCAGGAACGTGTCCTTCAGAGGTGGATTGTTGTTGCGTTCATACTGTCGCTCCACCGTTTCCTTTTCCTGTCATGTGCAGTGTGTTAACACAGTGTTTTTCAACCTTTTCTGAGCCGCGGCACATTTTTTACATTAAAAAGATCCCGCGGCACACCAACAACCAAAAACGTTACAAAATGACACCTTTTTAGCATAATACAGCATACTGTATATGCAGGGGTGTCAAACTCAATGACAGAGAGGGCCAAAATAAGAAATTGTGACTACGTTGAGGGCCAAATAGTCACCATTTAATAAACAGGATAGAAGGGATATTGGACAGAGTGCAAAAAGAATACATGTTTAGGTTGGCTACATTATTGTATGCATACCAGAGCTAGATGTTTGGCATCTTTTCTTGGCTGCTAGTTCATTAATATCTGGGGTTAGGTTCTGTGGAAACCCTCACGATGGAGTGAAGGTGCATCAGTGAGATGACTCCTGTGTGAGTTTGTGTTCATCTTCATCACAGAGAACAGCTGCTCACACAGGTATGTGCTTCCAAACATGCAGAGCATTTGAGCAGCATGTAGGCGGAGTTAAGGCATCGTTTCGGGGTGAAGCTTGGAAACTGTGCAGCTCCCTCAGAGTCGCACTTTGCCTTGAGTGTCATTACACTGGGGGTCTATCAGCTCCACAGGTGCTCTTTCCACGTCAACTGCAAACGGATTGCTGAGCACTTCAAATTTTAATTTCTGAGCTGCAAAGTCGGCAAATCGCCGGGTGAACTTTGTGCCAAGTGCGCCCAGTTATCAGCAAAATGCGCAGTCGGGAATACAGCGGTGGAGACTTTTACTGCATCACACATGTCTGTGATCACACATGTCTGTGATCACACGTCCCCGTCCCTGAAGCTGGAGGTTTAGCGCAGTGAGATGCTTCCTTATGTTGCACATAAAGCCAGCTAACATCACCACTTTTCGTCCCGGAGCTCTGTGGTGTGGCGGGCCAGTTATGATAAACATATGATATTTTCTGGCGGGCCGTCGTACCAAGGGCCGGATATATGCTGACAATTTAATGACAAGTCTCTAAATGTGTTGATCCTTACTAGGCTTTTCATCTGGGTTATTTTGCCCAGTTCAGAGTCTGCATTTTTCCTTTTAAAATATTTCTCCATCGCTGCTCGTCTCATCCCGCTCGTCATTTCATTCTACTGTCGTAAATTAACACGTCATTACTGTGCTACCTACTGCCACCCACTGGCATGGAAGAGTATTTATTACTTAGTCAGCCACTATACTGCAGCTCAGACGCTCAACAATGGCAAAGTATTTGCAACAACTAAATAATATTTTTTTGGACTCATTCAGTGAAATTGGACATTTTCCCACGGCACACCTGACAATCTCTCATGGCATACTGGTGTGCTGCGGCACAGCGGTTGAAAATCACTTTAACAGACCGTTATGCTGCTAGCTGTCAGCTATAATGTTACCTAGTGTGCGGTTCGGCGTTGTAAATTTGCAAATGTACACTAATACGTTTTTAAAAACTGTTTGTGTCACAAATTGTTGTTTGCCATGGTGTTTTACCTGGTAAAGAGCGTTAGTTGTGGATATTAATTATTGGGTTATAAAGTCATGACCATTACGGGTATACTCTGGTTTGGCAGTACATGAAAATGTATATTGTACGGGAAATTAGAACCTGTATACATTTAAAATGAAGGCACAACATCAGAATTCCATAATGCAAAATTGATTTTTTGCCAGTATAGTACCCAGATACACAAGCCATTTGTCACTGTCACGGGTCAAAAAAGTGTCACTTGTAGACCCCAGAATGGCGAAAAGGGGGTTCGGCTCCCATTTCTTATCAAGTGCTTTTGAGTAAAAATAAGTCCAGATTGAGTGGAGGTTGGGTGATGTCCTGAATTGGTGTGCTAGGGTGCCAGATTGATTCTTACATTTTTCCAGTGGCTGACCGTGCATTTTACACCTGGGCCTTCACTGCTGTCCTGCAGCTGAAACACAGCTACGGTTATTATTTGTTTTGTGTAAAAATGAAGCTCAACACACTAACTGCAGAGTCCACATATATGAATATGCCGAGAGTGTGTCTCCTCTCTTCTCTGACTGCAGCTGGGAGTGCTGCGCGAGAGAGTAGCCACCTGTGAGTGCTTTGGGGCAGCGGAGGGGCTCACGGCAGCACCCGCTGCTCGTTCACGACAGTGCAGAACATACGTGCTTTCAGGTCAGAGTCAAAACACCACAAAAGTCTCCAATAACACCAGAAAAAGTCGCTAGATTTGTCGCTAGTAGCTTTTGACAAAAAAAGTCGCCATGAGGGTTTGGAAAGTCGCCAGATTTAGCGAGAAAGTCGACCAGTTAGCAACACTGGCACCGGCTAAATATGTCCCCACAGCAACATTGGACGTAACAATGGTTCCTATCACATATAAAACCAAACAAAAATCCATCTTCATAAAAACAAGTTGTACAAATAATAATATATAAACAAGCATATTAAAGCTACTGCAGATGTAAAAACAAAAGCATTTAACTTACCAGAGCTGCTGTTCACTATTTAAAGACAAAGTCCATCCTCCTTTCTTTGTTAATAAAGAGTTTAATCTCACTGTTGTTCAGCTTAAATAATATAGTAATACTAGCAACCAATGGCCAGTGATGGCAAGTGGAATCATTAACTCTGTTACATAAACATGGTTTGGCATCAGGCCCTGACCAAAGTCCTTCTGTGTATGTACAACCTGAAGTTGACCACAGGCGACGCTCTTCCGGAGTGGAGAGTGACTGCATCGCTGTAAGAGACGAAGGAACTGAAACGCATGAATACATGAGAGCAGAGGAAGTGGGGAGAGGAAGCTGTGCAGCAGCTTTTGCAGCTGTGTCTGCGCAAGCATTTCCTCTAGAAATGTC